AGGCACAGGTCCCCTGTAAAAAAAAGTGCTGACACACGAATATGCGATAGCAGCCCGATTGGCCGCTGACCATTCAGAAGCAAGTGTCTTCGAACGGATGCGCTTGCCGCAATAGATATCTTGTGTTCGACCCCTGGATGAAATCAAGAGACCCTTCTGAAAGGATCCTTTCTGGATGAGTTGAGAAATTGAGAGGCCTCGAGATTCGCAGATTGAGGAAGCCTGAGCCTTGGAGCCCAAGGGCAGTCTGATCTCCCGGCTCGGTCGGGCACCGGCCGCTCATTCGCTCGCACCTTTTCTCCCGAGCCGAGGCGGATTTTTTTGGGTCGTGATCCGCCCGTGTTGGGCAAGTCGCACGATCCGGATCCGATGTTCCCGATTTGGGTTTCCACGATGGTACAGTGTTTGATTGGGGTTATGCAGTATGGGCGCATCTTAAAATACTCACTTCCCAAGTTGACTGGCCAAAAAAAGATTGAACTTTTTATTTACCACTAAAATGGTCTTTCCAAAAAGTTTAAAGTCCGCCAACTCAGGAAGTGAGAATAGGCTACACCCCCAGAAAGGCCACCAAAGAGACACGCCTGCTGTCTTCCCTTGGCAGCGATGGAAACCATCTTGGACAGGCACCACTGAATCGCAATTGCTATGTACAAATCCTTCGCGCTCAGTCCTTGCGTGAGCACGGCATAGACAGGAGCAGTGCGTCCATGGGCATGTGTCCAGGTTGAAACACTACATGACGTTCTTTCATACATGTATCGAACATACAATATGTACCTGGAACCCCAAAAGACCAAATCTAAATAGTCGTCCAGAAGTGGGACATGTGAGAACGGCCGTTTGCTCCAAACACGGCCGTTTCAGGAGAGTCGGATGACTGAATTAAGTTTCAATATTTTGTGCGGCACTTCAGCCGCAGCCCCTTTTCTGCGAATGCTCAAGGAATAACGCAAAAGCTTTCCTACTGCGTCCAGTTGTTTTAAAAGTCTAGGAACCCATGATCGATGGCGCATGCCAGCTTTCGAAAGCGTACCAGGGTTCGACTGATCCGACAATTGTCCAATTCAAAGCTCTTTGATGTGAAGCTCTCTTGGCCTTTTTCCTCGAACGCAATCAATTCTGCCATTTGATACGCAGCCTGCTCTTGAATAATGCTTCGAAGGCAACATATTGTTCGAAAGCTCCTTTTCGGAAACATCAAAAAAGCCTCTTTGGAACCCCTTTTCGAAAGCAACCTTTCGAACGCCGCTTTCAAACCCCCTCTTTCAAAAGCCTCCATTTGAAAGACCCCTTTGACAGCCTATTTCGCACTTTCAACCCCCCCTTTCGAAAGCCGCCTTTCGAAACCTTCTTAGCGCCCGCCTTCGAAAGCCCCCCTTTTTGAAAGCCCTTTTTGAAAGCCTATTTCGAACCTTTTTTCAAAAGCTACGTTTCGAAAGCGACCGGGCAAAATTGAATTCGATGCCGATCAAACACAATTTGAGATCCGAAAAAAACGCGGCTTTTTGAATCTGGTCGTTTGCATGGGTAAGAATGGGCGTTGCACGGGTAAGAATGGGCGTTGCACGGGTAAGAATGGGCGTTGCACGGGTAAGAACAGTTGTTTCGAAAAATCAATTTCGACCAACAAAAACGGTGATTGGCCAATCAACCTGAGCTCGAATGCAACAGACCCAGGATGGTTCGATCGAAATACGTTCTTCGAATACGCAGCGTTCAGGTATGCATCTGTACCAGTCGAAAAAGGGCAGTTCTTTATTTTATGCATGGGACCCTTTCAACATCCAGAATCTAAAAGTCGAAGCTGTCCTACTTAACTACAGCTGACTGCAATCGTTGTTGTTGTTGTTTTTTGTGGTGTCCCAAAGTACGTGTTTTCTAAGCCGCGGGTTTTGGGACAACAGTCAATTTGCTCGTTTTGGGTACAAGCCCCGCGGTTCACTATTTCAGTGCAACGTTGCATGCGAGCATTGAAGAAGACACTTTGCGTGGGCCTTTTACCAAATATGATTCTTTTCGGTTCGCAGTTTTAGCATTGAAGAATCTTTGGTCCCCACACCGAAGGAACCTATGCGCGTCATCCATATTGGCAAACACATGGCGACAAACTAAGGTTTCCCGCTTCTTTTGTTGTGCTCTTAATTTGTCATATGGACTTACTATTCTTGCTTAGGCTGGGCTGCAAGTCATTTTACCGGCTGTGAGTACATCCCTGCCATGCAGATTCTGCTGCTTCCTGTCAGCCACCTTGGTCCGGCCAGTTTCGGGCGAAGTGAGTCAAGAACGGCCGTGAGACAAAGCAACCATTTATTTTTAGTCGTTTCAGGCCCCAGGTAAATCCTACCGTATGCAGCCCGTAGTTTTTCAACAAATTGTCGACAAAAAACCGTAAATGACCGTATGGCCATGTTTTGTGGCCCAAGCCGTATGGACAGAAAAAACAACTCACATATGGGTTTCCAAGTATATAAATCTTCACCATGCACCCTCAAAAACCCGCACCTTGCGGCCTGCGCCCGACTCTGCAACCTCATCGCGCTTTTCGCACCTGGCGTGCAAATTGCAGATGTCGCTAAGGGGTGGGTGTGCCCCCCCCCATTTCATCTCACTGTCTTTTGGCAATGACCAGCCAACGGAACAAGGTTGATGTCTAATTGCAAGTGGGCAAAGAAGCAGGAGTGGGACGAAAAGGGACAAGCTGGATAGCTTGGGATAAAAAGGGCTTTGTTGACATGTAGACATGTTTCCAATCTACCTTGAGTCTCCATGACCCTTTAAAAAGATGGGGTCATCACCCAAAAGCAAAATAATGGGGTCAGGACCCATTTTTTAGCGTCATGGTGACAGGAAAATCTGCAGGGAATGGCCCCAAGACACGCGAAATCAGCTGTTTTCCTGTAGAATTTCCTGTAACCCAACCCTTTGACATGGGTATGTGTCAAAAACTAGGGCCACCTCTGGCTGATTATCTGCATGCTGACTTCTCGTCCCAAACAGGATCCTGCGATTCTGACATGCAGCCAGATCCTAGCCAAAAGCACCAGCCCCAACGAAGGAAAGTGGATCTCTAGCGAAAGCAAAGGATGATCTGTGTCCAAGCACGCCCGTCTCTACGCTCTTTAAGCAAGAAAACAGGTTTGTGTTAAAGGCAAAAGCAAAGTGTAGAAACCACATACATATTGGTCTCCAAATGGAACCTTGAAAATAGACCATCCTTTGGTTTCCTTCAACATGACTCTTGAACAAGGTTACCCTCGAAAAAGCATGCCCGAGTGCAATCGTTCATATCCGAAATCTGCAGCAAAGCCGAACTTTAGATGCTCTTGTGATTCCATAATCAGAGAGCAGACGGGACCAAACTGTCTTAACTTTCAACAGCTGTTCGGCATGTATCGTCCAAGGGTTGCTGGAAAGAAACCGTCCCAAAAACGTGATCGATTTGGAGGGGGATTGGAAGGCGATTTTTCGGGGCTCCAACCGCGGCGGTCTCGGCATTTTGCGAAACATCTCTCGGCGGTCTCGGCATCGCATTTTGAGAACTGGACAGAAGCCGCTCCTGACTCCCATTTTCCCGGGCCGACGGGGCGAAAATAGCTTCGTGGACTGCGAAAAAGAAGGGATCCGGATGCATGAAAAGCGCCTTAACATTGCAACTTGTAAATGGTGGTGTCCAACTTTATTTTGGGGTTGAAAAAGCAACATGTTTCAGATGGTTGCAACATTTGCATCTTTTAAGGAGCCCTGAAAAGCTTGCCGGGGAAAAAAAGTGGAAGGGTTTCTCACGGCCAATGTCGGTTCGGCCAGGCCGGAGGAGCGCTAAGAGCTTCTGATCAAAAAACCGGAGCACGCCGCTCCAATCTGTTCCCCGGCCGCTTTGAAACTCCGGTCCGGGCACGGCCAGCAGAGAAGTCAAAGAAGCGTGTTTCTTCCAAAAAAGGGCCACCAAGTGTTTTTTGGCTCAAACAAAGGTCCACCTGGCATTCTTGAAGGTTTCTACCCCTTAAGCATCCAAACCAATGGATTCGCTTTCTTGCTAGTGCCCCGCTTTCGCGGCCGAGAGGGCGGCCAGAAGCCCGCCCCGCTTGCCACTCTTCGAGATCAGGCCGGTGCGTTAGGCTTTAAACAATATCCGGCAACGCGCAGTTGCCACCTCTTTCAAACCACCCCCTACTCCAAATACCCAAAATACCCACTCTGTTTAGGGTATTTCGGAAAAACCTGGGTTTCCATGATAAATACCTCCTTTTTTGGTAGAAGGTCGACCTCATACCCAAAAAAAAGAGGCCGGGTATTTGGAGATGACGGGGGCATCAACCAGACCTCTTGCCCAAAGAGTCGAGTTTCGGTCAAGAGCCAGTTGACATCTCAAGTACGGCGGTCGCTGGATTTCCTTACGTCGCAACACGCACTGGATAGGTCACCTCGTTCAAACTATCCTATTTGTGAGTTCAAATCTAGGCTGGAATTAGGACCCCAGACAAAGAATGAGATCTTTTTGCCTGGTTAGTGGAAAACAAAGGGACCCCCAAAAAGCAAAAAACAACAAAAAGGGGAGCTAATTCTGGGGAAGAAATCAAGCTGCCACTGTTGAAGGCATCAAACAAGGACCTGTCCATATGTTTCGCTGTCCCTCCAGTGCTCAACGAGAGGCGGTGATCTTCGGTCGCGACATGGGGGAGGGACCCTCAAACAACTCGAGTGACTAGTGCCGATCGAAACTCCAGTCGCTGGCGCTTCGAGTTGGGTGGTTCTCAACGTTGGGGACCCCTTCAGACCCCGTTCCACTGGCTGTCCAATGGTCTAAGAGTGACCGAATGGCTGTTTTTCCGGGCCACTAGCCAGGCAGGTAGGTGGCTTCTTGGCTTCCCAACAAAAAACCAGCCAAAACGGGTACCCCCCACGTTTGGACGAGAAACACCCCCGAGGTGGCTTCTTGGTTTCCCTTCAAAACCATCACCGCCCCCTCCCCCCACGCCCACCCGCGCATCACGCGTTCCTCACGTGTTCCGCGCCACCAGCTTCACCGTGGCGTCCCAGGCGGCGCCGGGCTTCAAAGGCACCGGCTCGCCCTCCACGCTCTCCACCTCGACTCTCGAGCTTGGCTCGCAAAGCGCTTCAACACGACGCGGTGAGCTTCCATTTGCTTCCATTCGAAAGGTAAGCCAGGGTGCTCCCATCGACCCTCTCACAAGGGAAAGTTGGTTCATGATTGGAGGGATGGTACTCGAAGGGAGGAGCCATTGGTCCAATTGAAGAGGGGTGAACATGGTGAGCAAAGACTTCCCTGTTCTTCTTCGCCCCCGGTAAAAAATGAGGAAACATGTCCAGTAGTGAAATCGTTTCCCTTTAAAACCAACAGAGGAAAAAAATATTCATTTCAGCAAATGGAAGTAATTGGGACTGCGGTGAGCCCCTTTAAAGGGGGAGGGAAACCAGTCGAAGGGTGAGTCCAACTGGCGACCCGTGGCTTACCCTGAAAGGAGGGCGCCGCCGACCAGTGGAATGCAAGGAAGCGAGCTTTGGACACATACAAATCAACAGACCCTTCATCAAACAGTCCAAGGAGTATCCACAGCATCCGACCGCTCTCCAGGAGAAAAGAAACCGAAAAGAAACCAACCATATTCCGCGCTTTTCAACTGCCATCGCCCAACTTGCTTTCTTCAAGTCGAACCGAACCTTTAAATGGCCATTGCCCTTGCGTGGTCGCTCGCTTCCAGGTCGAAACCTGAAAGACCCGCTCCATGCAGCCCGGTGGCGCAAACGAAGGTCTTGTAGCCCATCTGGGTGCGATGCGATGCACGTGCGATGCGTCCCGCGTGCCATGCGATTGGATCCACTTGCAGCATGCCTTTTTTTTCAGGACCGGGCCCTGCATGTTGCTTTGGAGAACCCCACTCCTCCAAAAGTGGCAGGCTCAGCGACCCAATACAAGTTGATCCGTTTTTCAGGCTGAACATTTGGGGTGCGCAAAAAATCGGTGCCAAGAAGGCCTGCGAAGCCCGTTTGATCATCATTTTGGACCGAATCCAGGGAGCCCTGCCTTAAGACCTGCAATTGTTTTACCCCCATAACCTCCCCAAATACCCGCGTCTTTTTTGTCGGTATTTTTGGAAAACAAAAACATCGGCTTCCATGCTAAATACCTCCTTTTTTAGTACAGGGTCGACATCATAACCCAAAGAAGCGACCCCTCCTGAGAATCTTGCAGATCCCCTCTTCCCCAGCCACACTGCCCCTGCCTTGTCGTCGCCGTAGGGATTCCAGATCTCAGTGGACGAGATGGCAGCGCGAAACATGCTACTTCGCCGTGGTGAAATCGATCAGGTCGCTTAAGGTTGACCCAGGATTCATAAACCCGTCCCATTGTTAGGGTGGTCCCTCCAAAAGTGATGAATCCCCACTAAAACGGCTAAAAGGGGACAGCCCTTATGAATCAACCGGGGGTTTATTGATCCGGGGTTAACATTATTCTCGAAGGCAAACAGCTTCCTTTGAACTTATCTTTGAGCAAAAAGCCAAGAACAAAACGACAAGAGCTGACAGAGTCCGAGCAAACATTTGCCCAACAAGATAGTCTAAAGAACACCACCCTGATTTCCGTTGATCCTACTTTGGTTACACCGGACTCTGCCAGGAAACCCTTCGAGGGCAACGAATGGCTCCCTCCATCTTCCTCTTGCACGAGGCATGGGCGCTTGGATGCTTGGCTTGCAATGAGATATAGAGTGATGCCTCAAAGCTCAGGATCTTGGATTTCACTTCGCGGGTGCAGTTTCAAGACTTTCTGACCTGTTGTAGAAAAACTCAAAGAATGCCAAGCATGTGCTGTGGTCCTCAATGTTGTGGCCAAGATATCTACTGTAGTACTCTAAGAATCCTTTGACTAGCGCAGTAATCATCATCTCATCATTTCCTTTCCATAAAGATCAGCTTGCATATGTCCAAAGTTCACTGCAACACTTCCAAAGCTCAGCTTACATATTCTCAATCAGTCGGCGCATATAGCATCAGCTGTTCCGTTTGGTCTTGATACAACTCCGGTGACTACATGTCGAACTTGGCGCTGGCTCCATGCTGGTTCAGTTCCAGCACACCAAAGCAGGGTAACCATCAAAGCAACAAAACACCAGGGCCCAGACCAACCCAAAACCCGCGCGAACCCCAAATAGCAACACAATCCCATCAACCTGGGCCCTGAAGAAAGCCCCTGGCCCCTCCCCCCATTTGGGAAAAAAAATCGTGGGCCCCCCCCTCCCCACCTTCCCCTTCCCCTTGCCCTTCCCCCCCATTCCGCCCCCCGAAACCCGCCGCCCCGGTTTCAGCGAAGCCCCGAGCCGTGAGCCCCGAGCGAGCGAGGCGCCACGAGGTCCCGCCAGCCGCCGCCGCTGACGATGTCCAGCTCGCCCTTCTTGGGGTCCTTCAGCGTCACCGTGCCCGGCCACACCTCAAGCGCAGTCGCGCAGTCGCGCAGTCGCGCAGTCGCAAAAGCGAGGCGCTTGAGGCGGCGAGCACCGGCTTGAGCTGCCTGTTTGGTCAAGGGGATAGGCAACCACCCTATACCTCTATACAATGAATTATATATGCATATATATATATATATATATGTATTATGTACGATATACGTGTGGTACTATTATCATTATACAATATATATATATATATGTAGGGTACATACCCCCGGGGCTCGGGGGGGCAGGAACTTGGAGAAGGCCGGGCGCCGTGACTGTTGCGAGTGATGCTGATCTTCGCCACCTCAACTCTTCGGCACTTTGGACCAAAAAAAACTGATCCGCTACAGAGAGCCATAAGATCCGCATGTTCTTTAGCCAACTGATTTGGAGGCAGAGTTCCTATGGTGCCCTCGACAACTGTATGACCAGTTTGCACAACTGAATGTGAATCCAGGTACTTCCACCACACCAACTTAAGAGGCAAACCCTTGACTCAAGGCTGTGAACTTCAAACGTCAATCCCAGAAGAACGGGAAGGGCAAGCTTAAGCTACCGTAAACCTGGCCGAAGCCACACTTGACAGCCTCCAGGGATAACAAAAAGGCTTGGCAGACCAACTGCTCCATGCATCAAAACCCCGTACCCCCACTAAACATCCCAATTAAAATAGGTTCTGAAATGGGTGGTGCACCTACCCCAAAATGGGATCCCATTGGTTTTGACCCACAGCCAACTCATGCTGGGAATGCTGCCTCTCTACCTGCCTCTGGCCCGCCAGGACCGACGCACCAAGCAACCAAGATACCCACGCACCCATCCCAAACGCCCACCAGCCCGAGAAAAAGAAGAAGAAAAAAACACGACCTAGGAACTGGGATGCCCTCAGATCCCCGCTAAAAGTGAATAACTTTTAGTGGGTCAAATGGAAACTACCACTAAACACTAAAAAGCTAAAAGGCTAAGGGGATGGCTGGGAGCCACCAAGGGAAAATGACTGATCATTTGAAGAGCAAACTTCATTCAGCAGCTTTCGGCAAGACCCGCACACAGCCTTCTGGTAGATCTCATCCGCGAATTGCGAGATGGTGATCTCGTCCTTGTCATAGGTAGTAGGCTCAGGGGGATCCTGCGTCCGATCCTCAGTGCGCATGCCATTCTGGGCAATGTAGTTTGTCCTGTTAAATGCGTGCAACAAACAAGCAACATCCCGGAACAAACGACAGCATCGCCGCATCGCCATAAAAGAGCAGACAATACATAGAAAGGATCCACGCCTCCAACATGGAAATGGCGGGAGAACGCCTAGACTTGCTTCAAACAAGGCGGGGGATTCATTCGGGGCCAGGTCAGCCCAATGCCGCGCGTCTGTTTAGCACAGTCAATGGAATGATGTTTGCAGATCTGGTAAAACATGAGCGGGTCAAGCACCAAACTCTTCTGGGCAGTCGGCAAATGCTTCAACTCACTGCGACATGACCTGAAGCTCGCATGTTGATCAACCTTCCGAGGGGAGTATCTTCTGCGGCATATCGCAAATGGCTTGGTTGCTGCAACGACCCCCCTGCAAAAAATGAGCTTAACTTTTTGAGGGTTTTCCGTGGAAAACACCATTTGATTTCAACCAAAAAGGTTGAAGTCTAAAGATCCGTTGCTACTGGGCAGTCAAGATGGGCTCGCTGGCTTTAAAGTGAAACCACGCAGAACCACCATGTTTCTTGTGCGGGTGGGGTCCAGTTCCTTAAACAAAGAACCACGCCCATATGGCTGTGGCTCAAAATTTTCAGGAGCTAGGGCAAACCGCAGGTTTTACTCTTTGGTTTCATGGACCAAGGGGGATCCTTACAGTATACACCTGAACATTGCCTGGTAAATGGTGGTGTCCCTTTATTTTGGTGGAAAAAGCAATGTTTCAAATGAGCAAAATGTATTAATTTAAGGAGCCCTGAACCAAGGGGGCCATTTTGGTACGTTTATTTGAGCCACGCCTACACCCATATGGCTGTGGGTCCAAAATAGGTCCCAACATGGAACCCTGGTAAAATGGAAACATGGACTAAAACTCGGTCCCAAATCTGCGGTCCATATCCTGGTGGTCACTTTCCTACTGTGTATGGACGAAATCCTGCACCACCCAAGAAATGCAAGAATTGGTATTCCCCTGCAAATACCAACAAACAACGGTTTCCCATGGTTTCAAAGCGGTGCGAAATGGATTCCGTCCATCCACCCCTATCACCGGCATCGCCGCCACCGCGAAGGGACACGCCTCCTTGGTACAACCGGAGAACTTCCCTTCGATCCGCAGCGTGTCCACGTCGGAGGTGTCGTAGTAACCTCGCGAGTGCAAGGGATGCGCTAGACGAAACAAACCGACGTGCGGCTCAAATAAATGGAGCCCAAAATGGCCCCCAAGGGGTCCATGAAACCAAAGAGTAAAACCTGCGGTTTGCCCTAGCTCCTGAAAATTTTGAGCCACAGCCGACTGGGACATATTGTGGATGGAGGAAATCCGTTCGCACCACTTTGAAACCATGGTTGAAACCATTCTTCGTTGGTATTTACAAAGGAATTATCATTCCAGGGTTTCTTGGGTGGTGCAGGATTTCGTCCATCCGCAGTATGTCCTTTTTTGCGGCAAGCTCCAAACTTGTTGGTGTCCACTTCAAGCCACAAAACAAGGGGTACCTCCCAAAAACTCGAGCCACCCATCAGCACTAGCCGGCTGGGCAGCTTGGAGATCTCTGCAAGTTGCCACACCCAACTGTCTACAAGCAGGCACTTCGGTGTAAAGGGCCTGACGCATGGGTGCTCATCGCCTGACTTGTATGCGAGAGCGATGCTCTTCTGATTGCTTAAGGCTCCTATAAAACTTGTTCTTTTTTCGACGTAGTCTTTAAGAAGATAAAAAGAGTAGCTGTATAAAAAAGCGTGATCATTGTGTGTGTGGTGTTTACTCATAGTGAGCTAGAAACGGCATGGAATATTGGCCATAAGCTGCGGTCCTACCCCCGACAAACGACATCGAGTAGAGATGGTTTCTGCACTTTCTCGACCTGCGAAAGGCGAGACATATATGGCGACACCTCACCACGTCACCATGCTTATCCGGCTCCGCTGGACTGGACTCGACTGATGAGATGTCGTTCATGTGGACTTGTCTCCCTATTTCCAAGTAGCAGGATGTGAAAGGTCCTATGTTCGGGGAGCTACTAGTTCATATCGACAGATAAGCTGCGGTCCTTCCCAAGATCTCCAGTGTGTTTTCAAAAAGGCCAAGCACCTTTTCATCTAGCTTAACTATGACAGGTGTGACATCTCGAAAAGTTGCCGTTTCATGGTGGGCTCCAGAAATGACGCAAAACCCCAAAAGGGGAAATTGGGGGACCCCTCTATGAGGCGACTCACCCGCCCAAGGAAAAAGGAGACTCGGCAACCAGATTTCTAAAGGGCCCATCGACCCTCTCACAAGGGAAAGTTGGTTCATGATTGAGCGATGGTACTGAAGGGAGTAACCATTGGTCCATGCTTAAGCGGTAACGTTTCTTTGGTTTAAACTAGGACTGGTGTTTTCCTGGGGCTGGTTTTCCGCAGGGCTGGCAACATCCCCAGCATCACCAGCATCACCAGCGTCGACCTGGGGTTGCCTATTGGCTCTGATTGGGTGGCAGTTGGGAGTTGCTGGGGGCTGGTTTAAGTTAGGGGGCTTTTGGCTGGCTTAAATCTGTTTGGGGTTGATTTAGGCGAAGCGAAGGGCTGACATCCAGGCCGCTGTTGGGTGGGTTTGGGTTGGTTTGGAGCTGATTTGTGTTGGGTGTGCTGTAGGGTGTCGTCAAGTGAGTTGTGGGAATGTTTTGGTGGTCTGGGGCAACGCTCCAAAACCGATCCTAAACGAAGCCAAAACTCACTTAACCACACCCTAAAGCAACCCTAAAGCCGCTGCTAAAGCCAGCAGCACACCCAACACAAATCAGCTCCAAACCAGCCCAAACCCACTCAAAGTCAACCCCAAACCCGCCCAACAGAAGCCAATTCAGATGTCAGCCCTTCGCTTCGCCATCCCCAAACCACCCCGAGACCTACCCTCATGATATAAGCCAGCCAAAAGCCCCCTAACTGCCCAATCAGAGCCAATAGGCCACCCCAAGTCCAAGTGATGCCGGGGATGCGGCCAACCAACCAACCAAGCCAGGGGACCAGCAGTGACAAAAAACAACCCTAGGAGAAAAGACACTGGATCCTAAGCCTGGACAAAAATCAAAATATGTCCAATGTGATAGATCCCCTTCAAAACCAACAGGGGAAAATAAAACATATTCTTAAGCAAATAGAAGAAGATAGATCAACAATCATGGACCTGTTGAGGAAACAATTGGACCTAAGTCTACCCTTCAATAATCGGCCAAAGGGGCTGTGGATCCCGGTGGTGAAGGTGCAGTCAGACTCGGACTTGTTAACCTCGGTCCACAAAAGTGACCTTCTCAAAATTGCCCTCTAAATGGGTGTTTGTTTTTTTGTGGGATCCCGTTGTTTGATGTTTCTTCATGGTTTGACAAAGAAACCCAAAGGGAAACCAGATATATCTTTGGGGTCCCCCAAAAAAACACCCAAATGGTGGCGTAAACGGAAACACCCCCAAAGAACAAACCGTCTCACTTCAGAACTCATCGAACTAGGCTGTCTCAAAGCACTGGCTTCGGTGAGGGTTTATGAGTTGGGAACATGAAACCCACCACCGGGCAGTTGAGCTTGACACAAACCCATCTTGGTCTTCCTGAGTTGTTCAGGAGTTGAGGTATCCTCCAATAGCCGCTCTTGAAAAGCCTCCGGCACCTCGCAAGGACGCTGATCAAAACCAACCCGCACAGTTGCAGTTTGGAGTTCGGATCCTCAAGGAGATCGTGCCTGCTTTCATGTGAGGTCGTCACTCCTTGTGTGCAACTGCCCGCCCGCGAGCCGCATTGACAAGTCATTCTCCAAGCAAGAGGAGCCAACTGTAACCAGGAACTGAAACGGTCAGCGCACTTCCGATTGACCACTCGAATGGCCCCAGTTCATTCCAAATATCTCTGGAAACTTGGGAAGTGAGTTACGCACCATCACGGAAGCCCGACCTCCGGCGGCCAGGGAACACAAGAAGTGCCACGTACTCCGAAAATCGGCCGGCCTTTGTTGGTCCAGAAAAGCTACACAAGTTGCGGAAGAGATCGTTTATTGGTTGATGTGTAGAGCCTTTTTAAGTCGACGGTTCTGAAAAACGGCAAATCCTAAAGAAGAGGAGCATCTGAAAAACGGAACGACTTCCTCGCGGGGGAAACGATCCCAAGCTCGGCGCCAAGGCGAATTCCCCTGATGTAACGCCGCACCAAAGCGACGCTAAGTCCGCCCAATCCCATTGTAAACCGGCCCATAGCCCTCCCCGCAAACCTAAGCTAAACTCAAATCGGCATAAGCTAGCCTCCCCTTCAACAACCGTCTCTTATCCCTCAGCCGACCCTAAGCCGGCCCTGAACTCAGCTAAACTCAGGCCTGGGCCTAAACCAAGCCATAACCAAGTCTACACCACCCTTTAGCTAACTCCAAAGCTCACCCTGAGACCGCCCTAAAGCAAAGCAACCTTGTACCAGCAGAGATGGCGAAGCTTGGGGAAAGACATATTTATGAATGATAAAACATGGGTTCTGTCACATTAAACACGTCCAATATGCCTGATCGTTCTTACTCTTGTTCTTGCTTATTTGTTCTTATTATCTTCTTTATTTCCCTTCTTGCTCTGTGTCTTCTATCTGTCTAATTATTTTTCACTCTTTACTGGTTTATTTTCTTTCTTTCTTGTTTTTTTTCCTTCTTTCGTTCGTTCGTTCTTTATCTATGTTCTTTCTTTGTTTCATTTGTTCCCGATTTTTGTTCCGTCTTCTTTTCTTATATTATGTGCTGCTTTCTTTCTTGCGTGTTCCTTCCTTCCTTCCTTCCTTCCTTCCTTCCTTCCTTTCGTTCTGTCTTTCTTTCTGCCTATTGATCAATCTAGCTATCTGATCTCTCTACCCAAATACACACCGATCTATCTATCTTTCGATCTACCTGCCTATCTATCTACCTATCTATCCAACCGTCAAAAGACTTCCAACCTACCTATTTAACTACCCTCGTTCCAACTAACATGGCATCTGTGGGGAGCTACCTGGCATATTTTTTTTTTAAAGAGAGCCCCTGTCAGTTGCCATGTTAGTGGGAGGGTTATCGGTAATACAGCTATCGATCTGTCTACCTATCTGTCCGCTTGTCTATCTTCCGAAAAGCGCGCCTGCCGCGAGAGTTGAAATCGCACGCCAAATCGCGCGGAAGTGCTGCGCCTGCGGGTCCTTTCCCTTGCGAAAGCGAAGCGTTCCTGTCACGCGACAGGAAGGCCATGAATTTTAATCATGGACCCTTTGGTGGACATCAAAATTCGGTGGGGATTCATGTCCAATCACTTTTGAGGTGGCTCCCCCAAAAAAAACATGGCCATATGTCGCCAAACAACTCCGAGCCCTACCCAAGCGCGCGCCGAACGTGCTCCAACCAGGTGTCGCGATCAGGCTAACTCTCGAACAACCCAAAGCCCTTAAACCTGCAGAGGGTTGCACGTTTTTGACACTTCCATTTCCTTGCCACGCGCGCGCACTTTCACGCGTGCCTGCTCTTCTCTTGTCATTTGTCAGAGCTATGGCTTTCAAATACTTGCCGCACCACGGAAGCTCCTTCTAAACCTCCTTTGAGCATTAGATTCATCGCTCGCGGGAACCAAACCATCTGAATCGCGATGAACTCATCGGCGTCGCATCGTGCTAGAGGTTCTAACCCCTATCCCTGAGCAACTCACAAGGACGCAGCTTTCGTGTTGCAGCTGTCAGACCTGCCTTCTTTCAGCACACTTTTTACGTCTCAGACATGCTGCATGCTGATCGGCCCCACGTCAAAACAGTCTCAAATGCCTGTAGCCTGCGCAGGTCTCTGGACAACCCCAGGTCGCAACATCCCCAGAATCAAGAATGGCAGCAAAAGCAAAGTCAGTTGCTTGGATGTGCTGGACGTTCCTTAGCTGGTCTTGCACCTGGCTGCTGTCTCCACCGTGTTCCGGATCACCCCAGGTCACAACAGCCCCAGATTCAAGAATGGCAGCAAAAGCACTGTAATTTGCTTGGATGTGCGTGACATTCCTCAGCTGCTCTTGCACCTGGCTGCTGTCTCCTCCGCAGTGTGGATCACCCCAGGTGACAACAGCCCCAGATTCAAGAATGGCAGCAAACGCAATGGAAGCTGCTGCTTGGATGTGCTGGACGTTCCTCAGCTGCTCGTGCACCTGGCTGCTGTCTCCTCCGGAGTCTGGATCACCCCAGGTGACAACAGCCCCAGATTCAAGAATGGCAGCAAAAGCATTGTCAGTTGCTTGGATGTGCTGGACGTTCCTTAGCTGCTCTTGCACCTGGCTGCTGTCTCCTCCGCAGTCTGGATCACCCCAGGTCACAACAGCCCCAGATTCAAGAATGGCAGCAAAAGCACTGTAATTTGCTTGGATGTGCGTGACATTCCTCAGCTGCTCTTGCACTCCTCTGCAGTGTGGATCACCCCGGGTGACAACAGCCCCAGATTCAAGAATGGCAGCAAACGCAATGGAAGCTGCTGCTTGGATGTGCTGGACGTTCCTCAGCTGCTCGTGCACCTTCTGGATCACCCCAGGTCACAACAGCCCCAGATTCAAGAATGGCAGCAAACGCACCTTGATTTGCTTGGATGTGCGTGACATTCCTCAGCTTCTCTTGCACCAGGTTGCTGTCTCCTCCGTACTTTGGATGACCCCAGGTCACAACAGCCCCAGATTCAAGAATGGCAGCAAAAGCACCACTATAACTGCTACTACTTGATTGGATTTGTTGGACCTTCCTCAGCTGCTCTTGCACCTGGCTGCTGTCTCCGCCATCGTTTGAACCACCCCACGTCACAACCTCGCCCCCGTGGCCATACGAAGCAAACGCCATATTAGTGGCAGCCAGTCTCCCCAGCTGCACAGCCGCAGCCACCACGTCCCCATCTCGCAACCCGGCCTCACTCAGCGTAGCCGTCGAATCAAGCTGCCGGCCTTTCGCAACGAGCTGCAAGCGGCGCTGGAAATGCTGCTGCGCAGCAGCCGTCAGCTCGCTGATGGGAGTCTCCGGCGAGACCTCTACGGAGTAACCATCTCCACTGGGCAAGTGAACATCCACCTTCATGGCGCAGCAAGGTTCCTCTGATGCATTCAAGTGACTAAACACGAAACTAAGACACAAGAACAATGTTAATGCAAACAGGCCCCTGTTTAAATGCCATTCAATAATGGTCCTTGGGTCTTGAACCGGCCACGTGAAAACTCTCGCAGGCCGAAGCTGAAGCCCGAGATCGACGTCCACGAGCCGCTGGCAGAGATGACGAATGCAAAGATGGCATCCATGCCTGATGTTTTCATCGCCCTCAGATCACACGCTAAAAGTGGCTAACTTTTAGTGAGTTAAATGGAAACTACCACTAAACACTAGGAGCTAAAAAGCTAAGGAACCGGATGGCTGGGAGCCACCAAGTGCAACGATGAAAATCTCAGGCATGCCCGTTAAGGTGGCCCAAAATTCGCCTGGCAAAGCGATCGCCCGCCGCCTCGTAGATGATAGGCTGAAAATAATTGGCTTCCTTTCAGGAGCCATTTATATATACATATGGCCATGGGTCAAATCCCGTACCCCCAGTGAACATCCCAATCTCCACTAAAATAGACTAAAATGGGTGGTGCACCTACCCCAAAATGGTACCATTGGCTTTTACCCACAGCCATATATGTTCCAGGCCGTGGACCCCCCCCCCCCCCCCCCCCCCCCCCCCCCCCCCCCCCCCCCGGGGGGGGGGGGGGGGGGGGGGGGGGGGGGGGGGGGGGGGGGGGGGGGGGGGGGGGGGGGGGGGGGGGGGGGGGGGGGGGGGGGGGGGGGGGGGGGGGGGGTGGGGTGGTGGTGGGGGGGGGGGGGGGGGGGGGGGGTGGGGGGGGGGGGGGGTGGGGGGGGGGTGGGGGGGGGGGGGGGGGGGGGGGGGGGGTGGGTGGGGGGTGGGGTGGTTGGGTGGTTGGGGTGTGGTTCGGAGTTGGTTTAGGCTTGGTGGGTTGGTTTAGGGTTGGTTCAGGGTTGGTTCAGGGTTGGTTCAGGGTTGGTTTGCGGTGGGTTTCGGGTGGGTTTGGGGTTTGGGTTGATTTAGGCTTAGGGTTGGGGTTAAGGAGGGGTTGCAGGGTGGTTTGGTTTAGGGTAGGATGTTGCGAGAGGTGCGGGGGTGTTGGTTCACGGGGTGAAAGGGGGTCTGGGACCGAAGCTGCAGGGCTCGCACGGACTAGCATCCCCAGCATTGCCAGCATCATCCCCAAGATGCGGATGATGCGGGGGAGTGGGGGGACCATACCATTGGGGGGGGGGGGGGTACGTGGCCCAGGGACTGGTACATATATACATACGTGCACATGTGTATAAGCCCATGGTTGCCGTTTTTCAGCCCCCAAAGGAGCCTCCACAATGCCGGCCTGATTTTTTCTTCCTGGGCAAAAGCGCTTGGTCTCAAGTGGTTACACCTTCCCTCAAGGCAAACCTACCACATCTAGGTCCTCCAGGTTTGGAGGTTAGAATAAGTTGGTACCCGATGTTCTTCAGGTTTGTCTATTTTAGACACGGGGAACCCTCCCAAACCCAAAAAAGAAGCGGGTCAGAAAGTTGGCACCAATTGCTGGGGGACCTAGTCAGGAACCTCCCGCGCCAATTCAGAGCGACCCAGGTGAACTGGCCCCCATTCTACTCCCCAGCCTCCGTCCAAACCGGAAGCGAGCTTTGGATACATTCACCACCATAGCTGTCCTTTTAGGGGACATAGATGGATATCCCTGGTAGATGATTTTAAACCACCCGGCAAACCGATCGGAATCGAACCCCCCTATTTTTCGAGAAAAAAACAGGAAAAAAAACGCCGAAAATTGGACACAAATCAGCCCCTGGCCCTTGATCAAACCGGAGCCAAAGGCGCCACTTTGAGGCAGCAGTGCAGCTCGTCGTCCTTGAGCTCCACGGTGTAGGTGCACCGGAATTGGTGGGGCCACGTCTCAAGGCAGATGTTTCCCCGCCGGTTTCCCCCGGTTTCCCCGGGCTTCAAAGGGCACAAAAACGAGGTGTTGTTTTTTCTTTTTCGGCGAAGGGGGCAGAGGTGTTGTATTTGTTCGGGTCTTGTGTTTGCTTTTTTGCAGGTGCTGTTTTTCTTGTTTCCTTTTTTTTGGTTTTGTGGGGTGTTGTGTGTGTGTTTTAGTTGTTTTCTCCTAGAGTGGGGGATCAAAAAGAAGACCGAGTTGAAAAAGTCTGGGAGAAGAACTTGGTCCAAGTTCTGCGAATGGAGACTGAAAGGGCACCGTAGCTTCCTGGTTTGGGCTTGTTTCAAGGTCGCAAAAGGGTCAAGCAAAACAAAGAATGCCATCCCCTTTTTAGACAACCCTCGGGCTCGGGGCGAAAATGCTCAAGGAATGCCCAAATCTTCCTAGGCTTGGCAAGCCATGGCAACCAAATCCCAGGGAACAGCCCTAGGCCTAGGCCCCAAATCGGGTCAATCGGTGCGTTTCCGGCATTGGAGGGCATCTGGGACCCCAGATCGTGTTTTCTCAGGGCGTCCCTACCTTCATGGTTGCGAAGAAGGCTTGAAGAACAGGAGCCTCAAAGGGGCAAGGCTTCACTGGTCCGCCAGGAACGGGTGAAAAAAAAGCGAAAACAAAAAACAAAACACCAAACAAAAAACAAAAACGCCGCAGCTGGTATCGCTACTTTCCCGGAAACGTGAAAAAGCGAGCACGCGACCAGCAGGTTTGCACCTAGGGCGCATGGTCTCAGGCCGGAAGGTTGAAGCGAAGCGTAGCGCCATGAACTTTCTACGCCCGAAGCCAAGTTGGTTGAAGGGAACCCATCCAAAACCATGGGTGAAATTTATCCACTGGGCAGGGCGCAGAAATCGAGATTGAGAGTCGCTGGACAAATATGTCTGTCAGGAAATTGGGGACCAGCATTGGTTTACACTAGTGACATGCTGCATGCTTGACCCTTGCAGTCAACTGATTGCACACCTCAAATCCGACTCCATTGTCCAGAGCGCAGTCTGAAAGATCGCACTCAATTGCTCACAGCTGAAGAAGCAAACAGGCGCGAGGACCCTCTTTGGGCCAGTTGACGTTCAAAACCGAAATCCCTGTCCCAAAAAAGAAAAAGCGGGAGAGCAGCGGAAGGTATGCCACGGGATTTTCGTTTGGACGCACCTTCATGGTCTCTTCCGTCTCCTCCAAAATCAGCACGCACTTGCTCTCACTGCTCTTGTTCTCATCAAGTTCCCAGTCCATGTTCCTGGCAAAGCCTCGGCGACGCTGAAAAAGGATCGGAAACCGACTCCCTCAACCACGACAAGGGCAACTCAACTGCAGTGACTCCCAGTCCTGGTGCGATCAGTAGGGAATGTGGGTTTCAGGTTGGCAAGAGGCCCCCAACACGAGAAATTGGTCTTCGAATGCGGCCCCTCAAAATAGCTAGTGGCATTTCTTTGAAGCGCCAAAACAAGTTAACAAGAAACATTCACCCTGGGGATAGAGGAAACCAGCTGTTGGACGCTTTATCTTCGGGTCATTCCATTTCTCATCCCTGCATCCCTGGCAAGCGGCTGGCGGCTGGTTCTAGTGGCTGCAGTGCACGGGCCGCTTGGTCAAAAATAACCCCCCCGCGGGTGAACCTTCCCTTGGCATTGGGCCAGACAGTGGATGTCTAGGCGAAAGGGCTTGATGTTCAAAACAAGCAGCTTTGGGTTGGCAGGGGTCTGGTCATGACCCAAACTTCACCACACCAGGAATCCATGTTGGAAGCAGCTTTGGGGTTGGCAGGGGTCTTTACCCAAACTTCACACCAGGAATCCCGGAAGAAAAACCCGGACACTCGGAACCTCCATTGCAGCCAGTTGGAATGTCCTTTCCAGTCCACGTGGTTCTATTTTTCAGGGCTCCGAGAGCTTCCTCGGCCGTAACTTAGGCCTTTACGGCCGTAAACACCCCGTAAAAAGGCCGTAAAAAGGCCGTAAAAAGCCAACCCGTGTTTAACCGGCCTCCGTAACTCAGGCCTTTGGACTCCTTGCGGCTGGAAAGTTGCCCCCCAACTGCTGTTTCCAATGTCCAAACTCCCAAGTGTTCAAAAGCAGTGGTTGGGGTGGCTCCTTCCGGTTTTCTGAACGTGAGGATTTCGAAAAGCATGGTTGCAATTGAGCGCCCATAGCGTCCGGTCTTTTGCTCGGGAAGCAAGATATGGCAGGGCGCAGAATTCCCACCCTTATGGGTTTCTCAAATCGAATTGGGCTGGGTTGTATTGACAGGTGGCCTGCCAAAAAAGCAGAAATCATGTTGACCCTGGATAGTCAAAACCAGGACATTGATGAATTGCAGTGAGTTGGTGTTGTTTCCCCCTCAAAAGCAAATGAAATTACAAAGGGGTTGTAATTTGGAAATTCAGGGGGTCCTTATATGTCCCCTTTTAGTTTATTCAACTCAGGAGACGAATCCTCAAAAGGTCCAAGGGGAGATGCTCGCAAATGCTCCAAGCGGGACAAGGACCAAACTACCCTTTAAATATGATATCGTTTCGTCTTGTTGTCGAAGCCAGAAGGAGTTGTCGAAGCCAGAAGGAGTTGCTGACATGACCACTTTGTCCCTGGCTGCTATGTGGTAGCCTGTGATGCTGATTGTGAAAATGGGTTCGTGTTTGGAGTTGGAGTTGGTATTGCCCTCCAACAATCATGGAACTCGAAAATCGGGTGGTTCCCAAAAAGGACTGTGTCCATGATTGTTGGAGGGAGGGTGAATGCCCCCTTGTGTGTCGTTATTTTTGGGGATGCCCCGAAATGGTGGTTGTCCCTTTGGGTTCCCTTTAAAACCACGGAAAAATTGTGTTTCCCTTTAAAACCACAAAACAATGTGGTTGCCCTTTAAAACCACAAAAACAAGTGTGGTTTCCCTTTAAAGCCACAAAAACAAATGCGGTTTCCCTTTAAACCCACAAACACAAATGTGGTTTCCTTTAAAACCACAAGAAGTGGTACCAACTCAAAAAAGCAAAAAGCCGCCCCCCGTCCAAAGAAAACACCCCTTTTTTTCCGGTTCGCCTTTTGGGGCTCGATCTCTTGCCAGGAGTCCATGCTGCACGATCACCTTCCCAGGCCCGAACTGTGGGAAGCAGATGGGGAAGCCTCCGGCGACGTCGGCGGAGAACGGGGGGGAGGGACCCTTGGGGAGTTCTGAAGCTCGGATTTCTGGAAACCCATTTCTTCCATTTGGATTTTTTTGCCCCCCTGGAAAAAATAAACCATATTTCCAGTAGTCATAGATTCCCTTTAAAACCAACAGGGGAAAATAAAACTTATATTCTTAAGCAAATGGAAGATTCTTAACATTCGTCGTACATGAAAACCCATTTGGGGGGGAGGTGAGTATGAGTTTTACATGGAAACTTGTGTTTTTTTTTGGGGGGGGAGAGGTGGGTATGAGCTTTGCATGGGGGGCAAATTCACCAAATCCACCCCCTTGTTCATTCCCCAACGCTTGTGCAGTCTGGTAGCGCAAAGGTGTAATGTTGACCCCAGATTACACCCGTCCATGAGGAGGCGGCATGCTGGTTCTCTTTCCCACCGCCCACCTTTTCCCGCTCCGAATCCCTTCCGTTTCGCGGTGGTCGCCACCTTCCGTCGCTGGTCATTCCGGGACACCCTTCATTGATTTTTAACTGGGGGGGTCCGTGGGCCCAACTCGGAAACTGTTGGATCGACTGACTCCAAAAGAGAGGCCATACGGGGGCAAGTCCCACCTAAAATGGGACCCCACCTAAAATGGGTGGGTGTCTTTTTGGTTTCTGGTTTTCCCTTCGGCTTCCCTTTAAAACCATCCAACAAGGACACCCCTAAAAAGAAAAAACAACTTTGCAAAAATGGTGTGTTTTTTCTTTTGGATTCCCTTTAAAACCATCCACAAATATCCAAAAGGTCCCCGATCCGAAGGCCGAGACGCCTCCGCTGATGTTCTGCTTGGACCCGTCCAGCGCGCAATCCGCGCGAAGGCCCAGCCACTCCACGCCCTTCGCCTAATCTCTCCCCGGGACGCTTCCAAAGGAAAGTGGGCCAAAACCATCCTGTCAGCTTCTAGGTCCTCCAGTAGAGAGGTTAGAATAAGGGTACCATTTTTTTTCTGTAGTCTATTTTAGTAGGGGCACCCTCCCCAAAAAAAGGGTAAAAGAGCAACTGAGAAACCTAGTGTATGTGGGGGTTGATCTAAAGGTCCTTTCCATGGGATGATCATTAGGGAGACCACGAACATGTTGATCATTCCCACGTGGGAAAAGTTACCTATGGTCATTTTGGCGGCCCTAAATGGAACATTCATCAAGCCCCATGCGTCAATATAGGGACTTGGACCCTAAGCGCCCTGTAGGTCCGTCACCGCCCTCGCAGCCCGGCATAGCAGTGGGGCGTTCGGGCTCGGTTGGGCCGCCGATCGTTTCTTTGCCAAACCGGCGAGTCAGCAGCATCGGTTTTGCCTCTCTCTTTGCGACGGATCGATCGCGTCGGTCGCTCGCCCAATGGTCGTCCCAGAAACATGTAAAAAAATAAGAAGGCGGCCGCAGCTACTTATGGTTGGGGTTGTCCCTTACTAACCTTCATCTACCCGGGTTTTGATTGTGGCTCAGATGCCGTTGGCTGTTTGCGTCTGCCCGAGCCCGGGCGCGCTCGCGAGCGCGCCGTGTCCAGCTGTCTTTTGCACTGCCAGCATACCCGTATCCAGAGCTCCATCGCGCCAAGACACGGGCTTGGACAGCATCCGAGAGCTTGGTTCTGCCAATGGATTTCGGCTTTCTGCTTGGTGTTCGGGAAACACCAGCCCGCAAAAAGGGGCACAACATGGGATGGAGGTCTTCTTGGTTTTGCTCGGCCAGTCTTTTACTCGCTGGTTTTGGGAAACGCGCTGGGCACCTGGATCGGCACCTGCTGGGCTTTTGGCCAAAGTGGCCACATCAGTTGGGAGTTGCTCGGGACGGTTGAAATAGGGCGGGCTTTAGGCTGGCTTTGATGAGGGGAGGTCTGGGGTTGGCTTGGGGTTGCTGACATCTAGGCAGCTGTTGGGTGGGTTTAGGGTTGCTGTCGCTGCATTTGTGTCTTGGAGTTGATTTGCGCCAGGGGTGCTTTTAGGGCTGTGGTTACGTGAGTTTTGGGTCGGGCAAGGCCCCGAGCAGCACATTCTGAATGAACCCGAACCAACTCCAATAGGCAGCGCTCAGTCCAAGTGAGGCCGGCGAAGCCGGGGATGCGGCCAGGAAGCCAGGAAACCAAACCCAAGACAAAACTAGAACAACAAAAACAAAAAAAAACACCTCATCCGGGAGAAAACAAACAAAAACAAGAAGAAGAAGAAGAAGAAACAAAAAAAAACGAAAACGCCCACACCGGGCAGACCTTCCTTTCAGCTTTTCGGCTGTTCGGCGACTTCTCCCTGCCACAAAAACCACGCGCCTTGAAGGACGCGAGGTGGGCGCCCCGCAGGTACACCGTAGCCTTGGGAAGCTGGGGATGGGATCCCATCGCCGGGGAAGCTTCGGCTTTTAAAACTTGGTTGCGAAATCTGCACCCCTGCTCAAAGTGACTCACTTTTAGTGGTTTAATACGGAAAACCAAAGCATGAGTTGGCAAAAAGTTGTTCAGTCCTAACAGCCCTTGGCAAAATGCAACAAAGAAAAGGCTGGCCTCGAAAAGGCACACCACAACAGGCGTTCCCCTGCAAGGGTGGTTGTGAACATCAAGATGTTGGAAAGGCTTTGGTTGAAGTAGGCTTTTCCTTGTGGGGTGATGGTTGAGGAAGAAATATAGGGAGCCCTGTGAACAAAGCCATAAGGAGCAAAAAAGAAAGCCAGCCGGCCAGCAAGCCAGCCCACAACCAATCAACCTGATGGAAAAGCCAAATACGAGCCATAATGACTTAACCAATACATCAGTCAACCAACCCAACGGCCAAATCAGTCGGCCAGCCAGCCGGTATGTCGGCAACCCAGTATAATCCAATCCAATCAATTCAGCCCATCCAATCAATCGAATCCATGCCAATCCAATCCAACCCAGTCCAATCCAATACAGTCCATTCCAATCCAGTCAAACCCAGTCCAATCCAGTCCCAATTCAATGCAGTCATCGGATCCAGCCCAATCAAGTCAGTCAGTGAAAATCCCGACTCATGCAATCCAATCAGATCTAGTCAAATCATGGCCAATCCGACCCAAACTGATCGATCCAGTCAAATCGAGCCACGTCAAATCAAATCAAACCTAATCCATCCCATCCTATCCAATTCAATCCAATCCATCCAGTCAATAGTCAATAGTCAATCCACCCCTTGCATTCATCCATCCATCCATCCATCCATCCATCCATCCATCCATCCATCCATCCATCCATCCATCCATCCATCCATGCATGCATGCATCCATCCATCCATCCATCCATCCATCCATCCATGCAGCCAGCGAGCCAGCCAGCCATCCGCCCGCCCGCCCACCCACCCATCCGTCTGTCCATCCACCCAATCGCCAACAGGCCGATCAAACAAATCAATGAATGAAACACTGATGGACACCAAACAAGCAACCCAACACCAAACAAATCAGCAACTTCTAGGCAAAGCAAAGCAATGCGAAACAAAAGAAAACAAACACAAACAAAAACAAACACACGAACCAAAACAGACAAAACCACACCAGCAAACACACAAACAAACAATCGAACACGCACAAGCAAACAAGCAAGACAGCAAGCCAGCAAGCCAGCGACCGAGCAACCGAGCGACCGAGCGAGCACGCAAGCGAGAAAGCGAACGAACTCATGAACAAACAAACTAACAACATGCCAGCAAGCAAGACACCTATCAAATAAACAAACAAAAAAACAAACAAACAAACAAACAAACAAACAAGCAAGCAAGCAAATAAACAAACAAACAAGCAAGACAGCCACAAACAAAACACAACAGCAAAACAAAACAAAACAAAACACAACAAAACAAACAAAACAAACAAAACGAACGAACGAGCGAACAAACAAACAAAAAACAAACAAACAAACAAACAAACAAACAAACAAACAAAAGACAACAGAAGACAAAAACACAACAAACGAACGAACACACTAAGAAACCTACAAAGAAAACACAAACAAACAAAGACACAAAACAACTAACTAGCTAGCTAGCTAGCGAACCAACTAGCAAGCACACTAACTAACTAACTAACTAACTAACTAACTAACTAACTAACTAACTAACTAACTAACTAACTAGCGAATTAACAAACTATCTAACAACCTACCTACCTACCTACCTACCTACCTAACTAACTAACTAACTAATTAACTAACTAACTCAGAAACACTCACAAACAAACAAGCAAGCAAAACACACAAACAAAGAAAGAACGGAGCGAGCCAGCAAGCAACCAAGCAAGCAAGCAACACGCAAACAAACAAACAAACAAACAAACAAACAAATCAAAACAAAACAAAACAAAACATATAAAACAAACGAATCAACAAACCAACCAACCAACTAAGCAAAAAAAAACACGAGCAGGTGAACAGTACAAGTCAAACAACAGCAACAAAACAACCAACACCTCGATCGCCAGCCTTTTTCCAGCCATCCAAACAAACAAAGAACACAGCAAACACAAACAACAAACCAACCAACCAACCAACCAACCAACCAACCAACCAACCAACCAGCCAGCCAGCCAGCCAGCCAGCCAGCCAGCCAGCCAGCCAGCCAGCCAACCAGACAACCAGGCAACCAGACAAGCCAGCCAACCAGCCAGCAAACACAAACAACAAACCAACCAATTAACCAACAAACAAACCAGCCAACCAGCCAGCTTACCACAGGCAGGCAGGCAGGCAGGCAGGCAGGCAGGCAAGCCAACAAACAAATGCAAAAGCAAGCCCACAAACAAACAAACAAACAAACAAACAAACAGAGCAAAGCAAGCAAGCAGACAAACAAACGAACAGCCAGCCAGCAAGCAAGCAATCAACCAGATCAACAAGCAAGCAAGGTAAATATACAACCGTGGAGTTTGCCTAGTTCAGAGGAAGTAAATGGTAGGAGCACAGACATGTTCATCAGCACTGAGTTGGTTTCTCTTGACGCACACTTCCTCTCAGCCACTTTTCTCCTAGAATGAGACTCGTTGCGTAGAAGCCTACTTGCGTGGCTTACTTCTTGTACTTCTGACCTCGCCCCCCCCCCCCCTCCCCCACACACCCCCTCCCCCCCCCACCCCCACCACCCCTACACCTCCCCTCCCACCACCACCCCCCGGCCCACCTGGGAGTCTCCCTCACTGAGCACCACGTGGGGCAGCGGCCCCGGCTGAAGCACCACCGAGCGCAGAGCCGCACCTCAAATACAATCTTGAACCCTCCAAAACCCGCGGGGGGGGGGGGGTACGCAACTGGGTGTGCTTGGTTGACGGTGGAAGGGGAGCAAAACCTTAAACTTTAGCAGTTCAGTGGTCCACTAAACAATAAGCAAAAATGCAAATTGTTTCCCAACAACAACCATGTGTGGCTCAAAATTGAACAGCTGGGGTTGCTGAGGTTTTAGTCGACCGCACCTATAGATTGAACCCTCCCAAAAACCGGAAGGTTAGTACACTACCACTGCCCCCCCCTTCCAAAAACCGCTCCACAAACCGCCGCGAGGGTTCGCTTGTGCTTTAGTGAACTTTGGTTTCAAAAAACCAGGAGAAAAAAATCCTTTTGGGGAGATTCGGGGAAGTTCCTTTTGGGAGACGTCCAAAAAACCCTCGGACCCCTGAAACTTCTCTCCGGGCCGCGCGGTTTTCGGTTCCCTTTGCGCGCCGCCCGCCGCGCGGCGCCGGCCGCGGCGGCCGCGGAGACGGCCGCGGAGGCCGCGGCGGCGAAGCTCGGCGCGGAGCTCCCCGCGGGACGAGGGGCCGCGAGGGACGCCGTCTGCGGAACACAGAAGGGGTCGCGAGCCGGGGTTGATCAAATTTGACCCACAGCCATGTAAAGGACCTTTTGATCAACCCTCACATGGGGGTCCTCTTTCTCTTCATGAGACAAACCTTGTGATGAACAAGCCACCCACTGAGCAAGGAGCAAAGGCACATCCTCGTCAAAGTGTGTTTGGACATACATTGAAACAGCAACAGGAGCTGTTTGGTTGCTTGCTTGCCTTGCAAGTGTTGCTCAAACCCCGAAAATCAAGTTCATGCCTACCCCAAGTACAAGTAACAAACCTTGGAGTCCCCCTCTACCGTGCCCAGGGTCAGCCTGGAAATTTCACCTTGAGCCTGCCCATGCGCGTGGTCGTGCACGTGTTGCCTACATGTCTGACCGGGGATAACACCCAAGGCCACATTTAAGGAGCAAATGACACTGGATCCCATTAAAAAGGGACACCTGGGGGTGGGGTGGGGGGGGATAACCCGTCCAGGCAACGAGACACCGGAAGAAGCAAGCGTTGATACTGCATAGCATCGGATCGGTCGGCCCGTCTGTCCAAGAAAATGGTGGACTTTGGGCAGCTGTGGAAGTTACCCCCCGACTCTCTCCCAAAGGTCCAAAGGTCCTTGTGAGGATTCAACCTACCTGGAGTCTCCATGAGCCTTTCGAAATGGGGTCATTACCGACAATAAAGGGGTCATGGAGCCATCTGTAAAGGGTCATGGAGACTCCAGGTACTTTAGATAACCTGCGAATCGAAGTCGAGGCAACCAACCCGGTTTTTTATGCCTTCCCCCTGCACCCGCTAGTCCAAAAGTCCCCTCATGTCCCCTCTTACTACGCTTTATTCGTTGGTCATTTTGGGTGAGGAGCCGATCTGCGGGCCCGCGCTTTTAGATGCCTATTGAGGTTACACGTGGATACCCTCCCACTAACATGGCACCTGACAGAGGGTCCCTTAAAGAGGAAATGGTCTTCCAGGTATCATCCCACAATGCCTTCTGTTGGAGGAAGGGTAGTCTCAGATGAGTGGCCATTGAGTTTAAAGGGGAGACCTTCCGGAAAATAAAAGGCACCAGCACCACTGGGCAACAAAGTAGTTGTTTCTTTGATAGTTCCATGTGTCGATCTGGGGAGCAACAGGGTAGCTTCACTGACCCCGCCTGTCCGGGCGCAAGGAGCTGCCCAAACCCAGCATGCTGCACCTTTCAGCCCCCCTCCCCCACCCCCACCCCCGAAGGCGTCTTAGAACCTTAGAAACTCAGAAATAAATTCAGAAGGGATCTAAGAAGCCCAGCTTGGAGCGTCAACTGTTTCTGTGTTCTTCTTGAAACAAAGAATCGGGCATTCAGGTTAATGGCTGGTGTCCCCGATGTTGAACGGATCCTGAAAAAGGGTACCCCTAGCGTTTCTCTTCGGATCTCCTTCAACACCATCCCAAAGAAGAGTAACTTTGGTCTTTTGGCAACGTGCCTAAAAGCGGCTCCTTGTTGGCACAAAAAAGGGCCTAAATAATGAGAATCGGTGTGCGGGGTAGGTTCAAACCCTAAGTTGCCATAGTGCAAAGAAAAGCATGATGTCTGATTCTGTTTCAAATTTAGACCCTGAAATATCGTTGACCAGGTCGGGTGAACGGAACGGACCACGCCTTCGGACAGTATGGACACATCACTTTCTTTTCAGCCCTCAACTTGTGTCCCTTGCCCTTTTGCTTGTGTCCCTTCAGTTGTGTTGGCGACAGAGGTCACTGGATGTCCCTTCAAAATTTAATTGTCTGGCGATCCATTGAAATCCCCGCTTTTGGAGGTAAAAAGGGAAATGGACTGGTTGCAGCCCAAGGCTTCGCTGGACAAAAAAAAGAACCTCCACATGGATGGTCCCTGTGTGGTGTAAGCCTAGGACTTTAGGTCTGGAAAGTGGTCCCCAGGTTACGTGGTTGCTGTTGACCCCCCTGCAAGAAGTGAATAACTTCTTGGGGGGTTTAGTGGAAAACACCTTTATTTCAACCAAAAAGTTAAAGTCTAAAGATCCGTTGCCCAAGGGCAGTCAAGGTTAGAGCTCTGTTCGCTGGCTTCGTTCCTTCTAGTTTCCCTTGCAAACGAAGCAGGGCTGGGCATATTTGTCCATCGCCGGTCTCGAATCCGGGCTCCAAGTCATATTGAATTGCCTCCCCTCCCCTCCCCCCCCCCCCTCCCCTCCCCTCCCCTCTCCTCCCCTCCCCTCGCCCGAAAAAAAATGAAACTCCCCCCCCCCCTAAAGGCCAAGACGCCGGCCCCACAAACGCCGCCATACCAAGCGAGTCTCCGCTCTCTCGCTCGAAACAGGCCGCACTTCTCGAGCCAAAGCTTTGGAGATGCTGAAGTTAGAGAATCTCTTCTGGATAGCGACCGTTCTCCTCGTTTCAACCAAAAGTGCAACGGTTTTCTCAGTTGTTCGGTGACCCTGGAAAAAAAGGGAACCCTTTTTTGGGAAGACCATTTTTAGTGGGGCAGCCTCCAAAGACAAAGGGAAAAAGAATTGGTGCCACTGAACAACTGAGTTTTTTTAACACCAGCTCCCTACCTCACAGGTCTCCAAGACCATTCTCCTTTAAAAGAGACCGAAACGGAGAGAGAGAGAAGGCGTCGCTCGGAACTCTCGGGGTCTCGTGACTGGGTTTCTGCCAGAGAAAACCCGAGAGGGCGCGTGGAATCCATATGGAACCAATAAGCCAAGAGAATAACTGAAACGGACCAGTGATTTGTCCGTGGCCGCCTTGGGCCTAACAATTCCGCAGGGATCTTTTAGCTGGACGTCTGCACTGCATCAGCAACAGCCAAGCAAGAAGGCAAGACCAAATTTTGTTGCCCTTTAAAGCAACCAAAAAGGATACCCATCTGGCCATGTTCGGAAGTACCACCTCGCCTCGCAGACAAGAACAGGTCTTCCCTCCCTTACAAACGGAAGGCCAGGAAGAAGCCGCGCAATCTGGATCTTTTTCGAGGGTACCTCTTGATTTTCGGTTTAAAGGAAATGAGACCAAGAGGAAACCAAGTGGAAACCAAAGGCAGACCATCATGAGGCCACAAAGAGAACAACAGGAAACCCCAAGGAAACCAAAAGGAAACCCCAAGCAAGCCAACGATTTTCGGCTCCCCCCCGGAATGTTCAGCCCACCCTCTGCCCGGTTTTTGCATATATATTTTTGAAAGAAGCCGCCTGGCCTCCTTGCGCCAGGTGACCTGCCTCGGCAGGCCTTGGCCATTCACCTAAGTCTCAGGGCGTGTCGCAGCGGTTGGCGTCGCTTCATGGGGTCGCATCATTTGGGTCGCATCAGTGGGGTGTTTTGTGGGCATCTGCGTTTCTCCCCTCCAAACCCAAACAGAATCGTGCGGGTTCAACCTGTCAAAAAAAGGGGGAACTCAAAATAGATGTACACTGGCGTTTGTTTGGACAAGCGGATGACACTGGTTCAAACTGAAGGTGGAACCCATCCGTGTCCAACCAAGAAACCGGAAAGGACACCTTTTGGCGCGAGCCCTTTCTTTCTTCAGAACGCGGGCGTGCCGAACTGGGCGGAAATGACGACGCGGGTAAAGCAAGCACATTACACTCTAAGGCAGCAACATGCCAACTGGATGGCGCACGCCCCGTCCCTCCCTCCCCCCCTCCCTCCCTCCCTCCCTCCCTCCCTCCCCTCCCTCTCCCTCTCCCTCTCCCTCTCCCTCTCCCCTCCCCTCCCCTCCCCCTCCCCCTCCCCTCCCCTCCTCCCCTCCCCTCCCCCTCCCTCCCCTCCCCTCCCTCCCCTCCCTCCCCTCCCCTCCCTCCCCTCCCCTCCCCTCTCCCCTCCCCCCCTCCCCTCCCCTCCCCTCCCCCTCCCCTCCCCTCCCCTCCCCTCCCCTCCCCTCCCTCCCCGCCTCCCTCCCCTCCCTCCCTCCCCCCTCCCTCCCTCCCCCCTCTCCCCGCCCCTCCCTCCCTCCCCACCCTCCCTCCTTCCCTCCCTCCCCCCCTCCCTCCCTCCTTCCCTCCCTCCCCTCCCTCCCCTCCCTCCCTCCCCCCCCCTCCCTCCCTCCCTCCCTCCAGCGCCTTTCAACACGCACAAAAGATTGGAGCGTGGGGGGGGGGGGTTGGGTTGGAGGGGGGAGGGTCCCTGCTCGTCCCACGTGGGACCTTTTTTCTCAATTTTCGTGCCTTGCCTCAAACTTAGCCCCCCAACATTGGTGGTTTCATGATGTCTTCTTCATACAAACGAGTGGCGCACCACTTTGAAACATCTCGCAACAGCAAAAGCATTGCTAAACCCATTGGGGATGGAAAATTGTTGGGGACAGGGGTCGCAGGGTCCATTTGTTTCTTTCCATTTAGACATAAGCCCAACTTCCCTTTTGGGGGAAATCCATGAAATCAACCCCCCCTCGCCTCAGGTATCTGCATCTATCGACAACGAAACCCTGCAAAGGAAACCAGGTCAAAATATTACATGACACATATTAATGCCCACATCCCTGCTTCCCCTGCATCCCGGCTTGTTTGTTGGTCTGAGAAGGTCTCCCTCTTGAGATCCATTTTCAGTACAGGGCTTGGAGCTGCCGAGCCATTTCCCTTTGGGAGCCAAAAAGCAAAAAAGCCAAGAACCCACAAGCCAAGAACCCCCCCAAAAAAAAACAAGTCCAAAAAAAAACGAAAAAACTAATGAATAAATACCCTCCTTTCTGTTTTGAGGAAACCACCAATGTTGGGAGTACAGGTCGCAAACCCATGTACTCTCCCCAAAAACAAGCCAGACACTTGACCTTAGTGGCCATATGAAGTGGTCATGTACCCAAAGCACTGTATCAGTGGCCCACCCTCCAGTTGGGAACTTGTTGCCAAAGTAAGGTTTACCCCCCCCAAAAAGGCCACCCCGCGCCCCGCGCCCCGCGCCCCCAACAAAAAAAACGACCAACTTCGCGGCTTCTCCTTCCAACCCAAAAAAAAAGACGCGCTACCAAAAGGCTGCGCGCCCCCCGGTTTTAAAAACGAAAAGCCACGGCGACCAAAAGACACGCGGCCGAGAGAAAAGCGGTCGGCGAGAAGACGCCCCGCGCTGACGACTGCCGCGCTCGCTCGAGGCCCCCGCGGCCACCTGCACCCGGACCTTGTCCCCAGCTCTGGCGCCGTCCTGGGGATGCCTCCGCTCGGAGCCGTGGAGTTGGAGTGCCAGCGATGGCTTTCCTTGGGTTTTTTTTCTCCGGAGCGGAAGCCAAAGAAACCAACCCCGGGAAAAAACTCCAAGGGACCTGGGGAAGTTCTCATCTTTTACAGACATTTTCCGCCCATGTAGAGAGAAGTGGTGCTTTTTAAGAGGTAAGAAGAAGAAACAAAACCCAAAAAAAACAGACCACAGTCAGTCGCACGGATTTGAGGTTCACCACCGGACGGCTTGAGCGGTCCCGGTGGCACCTGAGGGGATTTGGACCCGCCCAACTTAGGTGGTGCGACCAGGTCTTATACTGTCCGAGTAACTTACCGTTACTTCATACCATTTGCCTAACAGACTACAGTCAAAACAGTTGCATAAGGATCTGGCAGGGGGCTTGGATGACATAAGTATTGCTTTAGTATTACAACTACTTAGTTTAGCATTGCCAGCACTTCCTTTTGGGTTGCCACTGCTTAGTTTAGTGTTGCCAGCACTTCCTTTTGGGTTGCCACTTAGTTTAGTATTGCCAGCACTTCCTTTTGGATTGCCACTTAGTTTAGTATTGCCAGCACTTCCTTTTGGGTTGCCGCTACTTAGTTGAGTACTGCCAGTAAGTACTCAGGTTCTCAGGAGCCTAACACTTCAGTTATCTGCAAGGCTCGGTCTCTCTTGAGTTGAGCACTTCAGCAACTTTGGTTTCTCAGATCTTCTCAGATCACGCTCCTTGAGATCTTCTTCTAAGCTGCACTGAGGAAAGGCATGGAAATCATTGATGGATGAACGTGCTGATTGAAGTTCAAAGCTTTTGTCAGGAGCAAGTTGTGCCGTCTGAGGCAAGAGTCTTGGTTGACGTTGGAAGGGGAGCAACAATTGTCATTAATTTTAGCAGTTCAGTGGTTGGATTTCTCCCACTCAACCACAAGCAAAACTCCGAGAAATGTTTCCCAACAACAACCATGGAGTTCCAGCAATCCGAAAAGGTGGAGGAACGCGAGGCTGGACCTCTTGAGGTCGCAAGACCAGTGGCATCAGAAAAGAACTCCCAAGACCGGTGGCTGAGAGCTGCTGTCAGGAAAACGGCCTCTTAGCTTTTGGAGGCCCGATCCGGAAGGCAAACTTGAAAAGAGCACTCAGCAGTGGGCCAAGAAGATGGAACTGGAAATGGGAAACAGGAGATTTCCAGTTGAGCGGCGGAAAATAGACCGCCTGAAGTGGTCTGAGAGTGGAAAGCCTGGGCCAGCAGATTGGTCGCTCACTGTGCCAGTGTGGCTGAGCTTATCAGATGGGACTACTATAGCCCCACTGAGGAGCAAGAGAACGAGGTTGATGATGACCCTGACATTGAGGCTGCCATAGCTGAGGAACTGGAGGTGCCACTGCAAAACTCGCTCAGCCTGAGCATCCATCCTCGTCTGCGCAGAGCTGCTTTCAGAAAGGCGGCCGAGGAAGGCTTTACTGAGAACAAGAAGAAGCTCAAAGACAGAGCCAAAGACCGTGATGAGAGGAAAGTGCGCAGGCAGGAGCTCAGAGGCAAGCTGGTGCAATCTCTGAGATCTAAGCTTCAAGGCAAGTCCAGAGAAGAAGCGTTGGCCGAGCTAGTTCCGGAGGCAAGAGCTAAGGGCAAGAAGATGTCACTTGTCAAGCCCTCAGCTTGCAGCAAGCCCTCACTGAAGCTCAAACCTGCAGCCAAAAAGAAACTGGCTAAGAAGCAAGGCCTCAAAACTCAGGCAGATAAGTCTGCTAAGAAGCTGAAGAACACAGCAGCTCCTGTGCCACCTCCCGCTGAGGCAGCTCTGGATGAGCAAGGCCACTGCCTACTCAGAAGGCAGATACTCAGTGCTCACTTTGAGTGGCAGATACTCAGCATTGCGCGGGAGCATGTGAAGCCGTTCCAGGCCGAACACCAAGCCTTTTGAGTGAACAAGACGGAGATGTGTGGCATGCAGACTTCCGGACACTGCTGGCCACACCTTCTTCCCAGTGATGATGAGATGTCTGCACATGATCTCCTCGCTTTCCCTGCTGGCGATGAGCCCATCCTAGTGGAAGATCAGTGGCTGTGGGCAGGATGGCAGCTGTTAGCCCTTCCAGAAGAGCTTTTGGTCAGCTGTGGGACCCATCTATCCATTCCTGCTGAGCGCTTTTTCTGATGAGCTTGCTGAACAAGGAATAGAAGCCTTGAGGGCAGCAGTCAGGCCTTTCACTCAGGCCTTTCACTCAGGCCTTCGTGCCATCAGTGCACTGGACTTTGCTGGGACAGTCCTGAACAAACAGAGGGCTTCAAATGGAGGCTCTACGACAGTCTGAAGCATAGATCTGAGATGTCTGCAGCAGCTGAGCTGAAGGCTGGCATCATCTTAGACTCAAAGTTTGGGCTGCCTGTCAGGAAAAACACCGTTTTCCAGGAAGAAGGCAGCGGTATGCATGTGGCTTCTATGTGCTCCGCTACATGTAATCTGAGTTGAGAACCAGAAGGGGCGAATGAAGATGTCTTTGATCGAGCGGGGAGTCAACATCATTGAAGTGCAACGGGCGGTACCTCCCTGACAGGCGAGTCAGGGTGTTCGATTCTCAAATCTGCAGGGCTCAAATTCGCGGGGTAGGCATCGAGTGGGCCTGCAAGGCTCACGGTGTCCACATCCTTCGTACCCTGTGACCCAAACTGTGACTCGACCGGCCATTGTGACCCTACTCGGGAAGAGTGATTCCAATAGATGGATGTCCTTGAACCTTTGAAGCAGCTTGACAGCTTCTCTATTCAGAACAGGGCAGAGAAAAATTGAGAGGCGAGTTTGATGGACCAACGTCGGCCGAATCTCCCACACTTTGCGGCTCTTACCTTTCCACGAGCTCTTACGTTGGTGAGAAACAACTCAAGGTGTACCTCCATTTGCTTAAGCTTTCCGGGGAAAAGGAAAATAATGTCCAGTAGTGCAACCGATTCCCTGTAAAACCAACAATGAAAAGTATTCTTAAGCAAACACAAGTGTATACTGGGCTGCCCTCAGATCCCCCACTAAAAGTGACTAACTTTTAGTCGGTCCAATGGAAACTACCGCTAAAAGGCTAGCTCACCCTCCCGTCTCCCCGTGCCCGCGAGCGCGCGCCTCCCCACGGTCCAGTTCTTGCCGTGGCCCCGGTTGTTGGGCCTGGCGCTCTTGCCGTCGGAAAATGAGTGGGCAAAGGGGCAACAGGGGTGTCCGTTGCGTTGCGTTGCGTTCCAAAAACGGAAATTCGCAATTTTACTGGTATCCGTTGGAACTGCCACTTTTGGAGGTTCCAAAAACGGAAATGGGGCAAAGCGGCCCGCCCATGAGTTTGGGGTGTTTAAGCGCGTGCGGGTGCGCATGCGGGGAAACGAAGGTGTCAGAATGTGAAGGTGCGTCCAGACGTGACCTCCTTCTTGGCCAGTGTAATGCCATACCGTCGCGGGAGTTCATTAAACCCTGGGTCCGTTAAGGGCCGCAAAGGGGGCCACAGGATGCGGAGGTTGTGAATCAGTGAAGGCACATGAAGCCTGCGAAAGACGGCGACCCACAAAGAGTCCCGAGCTCTATTTGAGAGTCAGAGGCCACATCCAATGATGATCCTCCTGCCCAAATCGCGCAGTGAACATCATGTTCCATCTCCGTGATGTGTCACTGAAAAATGACATGAGCGGTAGTAAGTCATGACAACTTACATTAAATGTCGGCCTGGAAAAAACACACCTGAAAGAGATGCAAGTCATGCTTCCAAAGGACACACCCTCTCTCCAACAACCATGGAAGCGAACAGGAGGCCTTTTTAGGATGATGGTAGTCTTCCAAAGCCCCATCTCTTCGATGATGGAAGAGGGTAGCAAATATCTTTTGCACATGTCCTTTTCGCAATGAACATCCAACGAGGGGTTCCAACTCCGAGACAAACCCATCTGGGGGAATTATCATATTTCACCAGCCTGAAACTCGCGGTGGTTGGGGGGATATACCCCACGTAACCACCCATTTGGGGTGAATTCGGTCGTGTGAGGTTGTTGTAATCTTCCATTTGGTTAAGACCCCTTGGAAAAAATACAAATATTTCCCAGCAGTGATAGAGTCCTTTTAAAACCAACAAAAAAATGATCTTAAGCACATGGAAGTAGTTCACCCAGAGCCATTCGCCCCAAACCAGCCACCGATGCAAAGAACTCGCCCGCCGAACCCCAGCAGATCGTACTCCACGAAGGGGCAGCCGTCAGGGATGCTCGGGTAGACCTCATGGTCTCTGGGTGTATGCCATGCAGATCGCCAAACTCTACGTGTTCAAATCAAACCCGGCATCAAAATGGTCAATCCCCCGAACCACGAGAATTGAAAAGGCGCACATCCGAAGCTATGGTTGGGAGTGTCCCTTCCCAGAGCTTCCTCGGCCTCAAAAAAAACTTACGCCTTGTGTCAACGGCCGGTTTCGACACCCCGTAAAAAGGCCCGTACAAAAGCCCCTGAAAAGGACGTAGACGCCCCGTAAAAAGGCCGTACCAAAATGTCCTCCTTGTTTAAACGGCCTCCGTAACTCGGCCTTTGGACTCCCCGGGCTTACTCACCTCCTGGCACCCCGTGTGGCTGTTATTTTTCGGTCAAACTCCCGCATATGGCCATGAATGTTCGGTCAATCGCGTAAATTACCCGTATGAAACCAATATTTGTTCGACATGTTGTTTAAAAAACGACGTAAAATTCCGTATGGTCATTTGTTTCAGTCAAAGGCGTATGAGCTAGAAAAAAAACGAGAAAAAAAAAATGCCATATGGGTGTTTATGGTGTTTACTTTTTTTTTTCAACAACACGTCGAACAAATACGGTTTTTATACGGGTGATTTACGCAAATGATCGGAAACACATGGCCATACGGGCAAATACGGCCAAATACGGGAGTGTTATTGGAAAAAAAGCCATACGGGGTGCCAGGGTGTATTCTTTTTATGCCCCCCCCCCCAATTTTGCTACGAAATCAACAAGGCAAAAAAGGCATAACAGTGGGGGGAAAAAAACACGGCTCAAACTCACCAAACCAGGGTCCATAGGGGGGGTACCACATATACATAAATATATATATATATATATACACACATGTATGCTCCCCACGTGTTTGTTCAAGGGAACCACCCTTTAAAAACCAAAGGAAAAAAGCCGGGTACCTACTATATGGCTTTGCCTGGGATTTGACTGGGAAAGAGAAACCAAAAGGTCCAAGCGTCTATTCGCCGAGGGCAACTGAGGATGGTTTCGACCGTGCCATTGACAGATTTTCCCGTGGCAAAAAAACAACTTGTTGCTTGCCACTACAGGGATCCTTACATTATACACCTGAACATGACCTTGTAACTGGTGGGTTCCCTTTATTTTGATGGAAAAAGCCATGTTTCAAATGGGCAAAATGTATCTTTTAAGGAGCCCTGCACTAGCATGGACTTCGCAAAAGGTTTCAAGAACTCAGGAAGTGAGATACCCGCTCACATCCCGCGGGCATCTCACGCAGAAATCTTTTCCAATGGCACAAACAAAAAAAGGCGGGTTTGTCTCTTCGGATTCGAAACCCGGTGAAAAGCTTGGCCGCACTTGGATTTCGAAAGGCAGAACCCCAAAAGGGTAGCGCACAAACGCAAAGTTCCTGCAGTCTCTGTGACCCTTGAAACATGGGGTCATTACGCAAAATAAAGGGGTCATGACCCAACTTTTACAGGGTCATGGAGACTCCAGGTACCCTCTTATTTGTGGTTTCGAAGGAAAACCACAAGGAACACCCACCCATTTTAGTGGTCTGAGTCCTAAAAAGAGCAGACCCAATTCCTGAGTTACGTTCCTAGCACACACCACTGGAAATGCCCCAAAAGGGGTCTGCTCATGAATCGATTGTCCATGGAGACTCCAAGTGTGACTTGAGTCAGCATCAAAACCTGGTACAAAAATAATGAACCCAGGACTATCTAAGGAATTGAACAGGCGGATATCCGCACCCATTTTGGCTGGGATTGTCCCTTACTAACCTTCATTGTACCCGAATCGGTTTTGAGCACGTGTCTCACTTGTTCATCGATCCGTTCCGACGAGATGGTTTCTGTGAACTGGTTTGTGCCAAAAGAAGCTGGTGCTTGGGATGCTTGGGATTGGTCAACTTGAGCCAATTCCACAAGCGCAGCGCAAAAACAACACACATAGACGCACACACGCACACACACACACACACCAATAATCCAAACTGAACTAGCGGTTGCCGGCTATTACTCTCACTTCCTTGGCGCTCGTGGTTTCACCTCCAAACTGATGACAAAGGGTGTGGCTCAAATTAAATAGCTAAGGTTACGCAGGTTGTAGTCTTTGGTTCCACTTGCCAAGGTGTCATTTTTGTACATTTTATGGAGCCACACAGCCAAACGCAACTGTGCAGCCGTGCCCTTCTTTTAACACACAACCAAAGGCGAGGTCCGTGCCACACGCTCAGCAGCTCAGTACCTGGTTGCTGTCCCCGCCGAGCCTTGAATCACCCCAGCTCACAACATGTCCAGATTCAAGAAGGGCGGCAAAAGCATGGGAAGTTGCTTGGATGTGTTGGACCTTCCTCAGCTGCTCTTGTACCGGGCTGCTGTCTCCTCCATGTGCTGGATCACCCCAGGTCACGACATCGCCAGATTCAAGAATGGCAGCAAAAGCACCGCAGGCAGCTGCTTGGATGCTCTGGACGTGCCTCAGCTGCTCTTGTACCGGGATGCTGTCTGGATCACCCCAGGTCACGACATCGCCAGATTCAAGAATGGCAGCAAAAGCACCGCAGGCAGCTGCTTGGATGCTCTGGACGTGCCTCAGCTGCTCTTGTACCGGGATGCTGTCTGGATCACCCCAGGTCACTCCCAGATTCAAGAATGGCAGCAAAAGCACCGCAGGCAGCTGCTTGGATGCTCTGGACGTGCCTCAGCTGCTCTTGTACCGGGGTGCTGTCTCCTCCACATGCTGGATCACCCCAGGTCACGACATCGCCAGATTCCATAATGGCTGCAAAAGCACCATTGGCAGTTGCTTGGATGTGCTGGACGTTCCTGAGCTGCTCTTGCACATGGCTGCTGTCTCCGCCTTCGTCTGGGTCACCCCAGCTCACAACAGCGCCATTTTCAAGAATGGCTGCAAAAGCACTACCAGTTGCTTGGATGTGCTGCACGTTCCTGAGCTGATCTTGCACCTGGCTGCTGTCTCCGCCTTTTTTTGGATTCCCCCAGGTCACAACAGCCCCAGATTCAAGAATGGCTGCAAAAGCACGATTAGTTGCTTGGATGCACTTGACGTTCCGCAGCTGCTGCTGCATCTGGCTGCTGCCCCAGGGTAGCAAACCCCAGGTCACAACAGACCCATTTTCAAGAATGGCTGCAAAAACACTACCAGTTGCTTGGATGTGCTGCACGTTCCTGAGCTGATCTTGCACCTGGCTGCTGTCTCCGCCAAAGCGTGGACTGCCCCAGGTCACAACAGCCCCAGATTCAAGAATGGCAGCAAAAGCACCTTTGGTTGCTTGGATTTGCTGCACGTTGCTCAGCTGCTCTTGCACCTGGCCGCTGTCTCCGCCACTATTTGGATCACCCCAGGTCACAACAGACCCAGATTCAAGAATGGCAGCAAAAGCGCCCTGAGTTGCTTGGATGTGCTGGACGTTCCTGAGCTGATCTTGCACCTGACTGCTGTCTCCGCCGCATCCTGGGTCACCCACGTCATCAGCTCGTCCCCTTTGCCCAGAAAAGCGAAGGCCGTGCCTGTGGCAGCCAGTGTGCCAAGCTGCACAACCGCAGTGACCGCGTCCCCATGTCGCAGCCCAGCCTCACTCACCTAGGCTGGAATTAGGACCCCAGCAAAAGATTATCTTTTTTGCCTGGTGAGTGGAAAACAAAGGGACCCCAAATAAGCAAAACAGTTAAAGGGGAGCTAATTCTGGGAAAGTCACAGTGGCCGCCACATCGAGCAGCCGACCTTCCGCGGTCAGCTTCAAGCGGCGCTGGAAATGCTGTTGCGCTGAGGCCTTCAGCTCCCTGACGAGCGTCGCTGCTGAGACGTCAAAGGAGCAGCCATCGCCACTGGGCAAGTGAACCTCCAGCCTCATGGCGCAGGAAGCTTTCTATGGATGAATTTAAGAACCAAACACGCAGCTGAGACACAAACATGTGGCTGTTTCCGGTTGGCAGCTCTTTGGGATCGATGGACAAGTTCCAAACTCGCAGCACCCCAGCTCAGGAGCTCTACGACCTCTCCGGCTCTTCACTCTAAAGCAGGGCTGTGGGAAATGATCACTTCTGTACAACAAAAAGGGCTTCCCAAAGACTAACCCCCCATATAAAGAGAGAGAGAGAGAGAGATTCCCTTGTATCACAGAAGTGGTTGGAAAAACCAACTCCTTGATCCCACCCTGCTCTAAAGCTCGACTTAAAAAAACCGCGCCAGGGCCCCACGAAAAATCGACACGCCTCGAAACGATTCGAGTCCGGGGGCTGGGGGCCGGGGGCCGGGGGCCGCGCCTGTTCGGTGGCCGGATCCGCTCGGAAACTCAACGGAAAGGAGTCGAGAGAGGAGTCTCAGACCGACGGAAAAACAGACCGCATTTGAAGAGACCGGACAGTCTTACCCCGGGAAAAAAAAAACTCCCTGCGCAACCTGGGGAAGTTCTCATCTTTTACGACATTTTTCGCCCATGTTACCCAAAAAGTTGAGAAAAGTTTGGTGTTTTTAAGAGGTAAGGACATGTGAAAGCTGTCCAAGAATCGAAACAGAATCTTCGCTGGACCTCGATCTTCAGGCTCTGACTCAACCCAGAGCTTCCACTTAATTACCGTAACTTCGGCCTTTGGTCAACGGCCGGTTTCAACACCCCGTAAAAAGGCAACGTGAAATGCAAAATCCTGAAGGAGCTTCCGTCCTCGCCGCGCTCCCCTCTTCCCCTCGCCGCGAGCTGAGTGGGCTCGGGGGCCCGGCACATTGCTCCCACCTGGGTCGCGTTTGGGAGAGTCCCAAATACTGAGGGATCCAGCCCAAAGTTACACGATCTTCAGGCTTCACAAACTCCCACCTCCCCAACCCCCCGAACCAACCTCCAAACCAACCTCCCACACCCCAGCCCCCACTGGAGGGCCTTTGCTCCTCGAGCTCCGCCCACCGTAGAAATCGACTCCTTTTCCATTCTCTTCAATCCCAGAGCTTCCTCGGCCTGAGTACTTAGGCCTTTTGTCCACGGCCGTAAACACCCCGCAAAAAAAAACAGCTAACAAAAAACACCACGAAAAACGAAAAACGTGTTTCAACAGCCTCCGTATCTCAGGCCTTTGGACTCTCTGGGCATCGCTCTTTTCAAACGCCAGCATTTTGCCTCGGTTTCCGGAGGTTTTCTAGAAAGCTTCGGATCCAAACCGTCCATTTTCCCCGGGTTTTCGGAGGTTTTCTCTCGAAAGATTCAAGGGTCCCTGGGTTTAGAAATGGGGAAGAACAGATTCGGATCCCTGGGTTTAGTGAATCTGGAAATGAATAAAATGGTACCCCTAGAACCCTCGGAGGCTTTCTAGAAAGGTTTTCCGGCGGTTTTCCGGAGGTGTTCCGGAGGTTTTCCGGAGGTTTTCTGGAGGTTTTCTGAAGGTTTTGCGGAGGTTTTCTGGAAAGACTGGACATGGAAGCTACCTCCACCCACCCATCCCGGCCTTCCGTCCACCAGCAGTTGAAAGCTCTCCCAGCCGCCGGCGCCCACCTGGAGTCGAACCCTTCGAAGCCGCGTTTTCTGGTTTGCCTTCGTCCATTTGTGTTTTTAAGTCCGCTGGAACCAAAAAAAATAGTCATTCAACAAAACAGAATAAAAAAAAACAAAAAAAAACACCTCATCAGTAGTGATAGATTCCCCTTAACACCAAGAGGGGAAAAACAACATACTCTTAGGCAAATGGTTTTGTTTTATGCATGGGGAAGTGCTTAGGGGTGAGCACCAACCCCCAACATAACCAAAGCCACAAGGATGGCTCAGCTTTGGATCTTTTATTTATCTAACTTCTCTTCTTTTTTTTTGGGGGGGGGGGGGTTAAAGCAAAATTTTCGAAATATGTTGATGGTTTTTAGTATTTTACGTAATGTTGTTTGGTGTTGTTTTTTGCACTGAAAGCACAATGGAGAGCCATATGTCCCCTTCGACTCCCTCACTTGGTCGACAAGTCTTGTGTGGAACTGTTCGCCCCCTCCCCGTGCCTAGGAGATTTCCCGTCAAACCGCCAGGGGGTAGTTTTGACAAATAAAACTAACGCGTCACCCAAACCACTATGTTGCAATCCCAAGAGGCAGCCCAAAAAATGGTCGACCAGCCCTCTAAATCTGAACAGGGTCAATCGAGCAACAAGACTGCAAAAACAAAAAAAACCGTGAAGAGAAGCCACGCCTGGAAGATGTGGTAGAACTTGGAGCCATCCCATTTCATTTCCTGCACATGGGTGGCCTTTTGGAAAAACAGATGGCCCTGGTAAAGGGAGTAACCCTGTCTAAACCAGTGCCATCTATTTTAACAAACTAGCCTAAAAACGACTCCTATGCTCCTGCAGCGCATGACATGAGTTTTCTCATGCTCCTTCTCCCAACAAGTTGCGCCGAACACATGTCTTGGTGCGTCGGCGTGGTCTAGAAAATGAGTTCTACGAGTCCATGACCTTGTGGCAAATCAACTGATGTGGCAAACCTCTCCCAGAGCCTCCTCGGCCTGAGTAACTTAGGCCTTTTGTCAACGGCCGTAAACACCCCGTAAAAAGGCCGTAAAAACCTCCGTGTTTAAACCGATGTTCATATGCACGGATGACCATCAAGTAATGTTTAGGGCTGCTATCAAAGAACGGATGAACGTAACCGCCAATTATTTGCTCGCATGTCTTCTTTACTTACGGGATTCAAATGTCACGTTCGACAATATTAGGTCTCGGGCACGGATATTTACGGCATGCGGCGATGCTAATAGCGTCATCAACATGTAGTCTACGCGAAGACTGGCAACATTTGTACACTACTTGCCAAACAAGGCAACGATGCCTGTACACATACATTGTAAATAGTTTACCTCGGTCTACGATCACAAGGTGGCAACCAGTCTAGTGCATCCATTTCACGCAACAAAATGGAGCCCTGCAAAATGTATCTAGTCGTTGAAGCAAACAACATGACTGACACGCATACCAGGCACGCTCAGAAGGGGCTTATATACCTTTTGGTTTCCGCTTTTTGTAAACCCGTGGCACCTTAAAAACCTGAGGTCTTCTAGGTCCTCCAGTAGAGAGGTTAGAATAAGGGTACCGTTTCTTTTTTCTGTAGTCTATTTTAGTAGGGGAACCGTCCCCCAAAAAAAGGGAGAGAAAGGGCACCTGGCTGGAAAACCTAAGCTTTCACGTCGAAAAACCTAAGCTCACCGCATTTGGGAAGACTTGTTCTCAAAGCCCGGCCGGGAACCATGCCCCCGCCTCACAAATTCCGCCCTTCACCTGCGAGTTGGAACCTTCACGCGCCTTGACTCCTTGACCGCGATAGCGAAGGTGGGCTTCGCCTACCTTCGAAGCTGCGAACTCCGAGCTGGAGCTGCGAAAGCGCACTGCGCGTGATACTCTGGAGTGAAAGCTCACGTGGCGTACGTAGCTACTTGCAGCGTTCCGCTGGAACCGCAGCGATTCGACCAGGCCAAAGTCCGCAGAGGACTCCGCTTGCCACCACGATCTTCACAGCACCATGAACTAGGTCCTCCAGTAGAGAGGTCAGAATAAGGGTACGTACCCTTTTGTTGTAGTCTATTTTAGTAGGGGAACCCTCCCAACCAAAAAAGTTGGTAAAAGCTGGCACCTAGCTGGGACATGTAGAAACCGTTGGGCAATTGGTCACCTAGTTGGGGGACCTAGTCCACTCACTCCATCCATGAAAAAAAGGTAAAAGTTGGCACCTAGCTGGGGGACCTGGTGAACCTGCAATCTTCCCGCGTGCTCCGGCCACGGGAAAAACATCCGCGCCATCCGATTTCCGCACCGAAGGCCACGATCGCCACTTGTCGCGACGGGTCCCGGACTTGGAACGGTCTCCTTTTTGTCACGTGGCTGTGGCTCAAAAAACCGTCACCAAACATAGGTGTCCTTTTTGGGAAAATAGGTGGCCTGGTAGTTGATTGAACCACCAGGTAAACCAGGGCCCTCTATTTTTCAACCAAATCAACCAAAAAGGACACATGAGGTACCAACATAGAACCCTGAAAAGTGGAAATATGGACCAAAACCTGTGGTTTGCCCCTCCTGCTTAATTTTGAGCCACGCCCATGTCCCAATCCTCATGTCGCAGGCAAAACATGCAAGAGATCCAATGGCCCCAGACTCGCGGCACGGCGCCACAGCGAGAGTGCAGTTTCGCAAAAAGTTGCAAAATCCAAAAACATCCAAAACAAATCCAAAAGTTGCAAAATCCAAATCCAAAAGTTGCAAAATCAAAATCCAAACGTTGAAATGTCATACGAGCACTGTCTCATCCACAACATGTTGCAATAATTTCATGCTGCAACCCTCGATCCAACCCCGCCTTCCGCCTTCCGGAACGACAGGAAGTAGAGGGGATGATTGGTACCGAAAGAAAGAGCGTCTTCTTCGTAGGTGGTGTTGAGGAAACCCTTTTGGTGTTTTCTTTGGTGAAAGAAAGAAAGGGAATCCACAAATTTTCGGGTCCCATTCAGAGACAACCCCATATCTTGGCTGGCCAAAAATATCTATTTTGCCTGGTTAGAGGAAAACAAAGGGACCCAAAAAAAGCAAAACAAAAAAATAAAGAAGGGAACTAATTCCGGGGAAGATATCTATTTGTCCAAAAGAGACCCCGAAAGCACCAAGCCATGGTCACGCACCAAGCCACTTACCCAGCCCCCTGCCCTGAGAAGAGCACCGAATCAGCTGAGTCGGGCGTCCAAGTGGGCATGTTTTTGCCAAACACTTTGAGTTGAGCCGGTCTCCCCCGACCAAAAGCAATCGAAAAAGGCCTAAGAATCCCGATAGATGAGGGAAAAACCACTTGCTGTAAGGCTCGTGCGGCAACAAATCTAACTGTGGAGTGCACCTCTAGCTTTCAGCATGCATCTAGGGCCACTGATGTGCTGTTCAGGTTACATCGCCACCCAAATGACAAGCCCAGCTCTTGCAGCTGGCTGCTGTCTCCACAGAATTGTGGATTACAGCCCCAGATTCAAGAATGGCAGAAAAAGCATCAGCTGCACCTGTCTCCTCCGTTATGTGCATCACCCCAGGTTACAACAGCCCCAGATTCAAGAATGGCAGCAAAAGCACCAGCAGTTGACTGGATGTGCTGGACGTTCCTCAGCTGCTCTTGCACCTTGCTGCTGTCTCCTCCGTAATGTGCATTACCCCAGGTCACAACTGCCCCAGAATCAAGAATAGCAGCAAAAGCACCAGAAGTTGCTTGGATGTGCTGGACGTTCCTCAGCTGCTCTTGCACCTGGCTGCTGTCTCCGCCATATTCTGCATTTCCCCAGGTCACAACTGCCCCAGATTCTTGGCAGCAAAAGCACCACCCAACCGACCACTTGTTGATTGGATATGCTGGACGTTCCTCAGCTGCTCTTGCACCTGGCTGCTGTCTCCGCCATATTCTGGATCACCCCAGGTCACAACAGCTCCAGATTCAAGAATGGAAGCAAAAGCTCCACCCAACTGACCACTTGTTGACTGGATGTGCTGGACGTTCCTCAGCTGCTCTTGCACCTTGCTGCTGTCTCCTCCGTAATGTGCATTACCCCAGGTCACAACTGCCCCAGAATCAAGAATAGCAGCAAAAGCACCAGAAGTTGCTTGGATGTGCTGGACGTTCCTCAGCTGCTCTTGCACCTGGCTGCTGTCTCCGCCATATTCTGCATTTCCCCAGGTCACAACTGCCCCAGATTCTTGGCAGCAAAAGCACCACCCAACCGACCACTTGTTGATTGGATATGCTGGACGTTCCTCAGCTGCTCTTGCACCTGGCTGCTGTCTCCGCCATATTCTGGATCACCCCAGGTCACAACAGCTCCAGATTCAAGAATGGAAGCAAAAGCTCCACCCAACTGACCACTTGTTGACTGGATGTGCTGGACGTTCCTCAGCTGCTCTTGCACCTGGCTGCTGTCTCCTCCGTAGTGTGCATTACCCCAGGTCACAACAGTTCCAGATTCAACAATGGCAGCAAAAGCACACATACTTGCTTGGACGTCCTGGACGTGTCTCAGCTGCTGTTGCACCTGGCTGCTATCTCCTCCCCGGCCTGCATCACCCCAGGTCACAACTGCCCCAGATTCAAGAATAGCAGCAAAAGCACCAGCAGTTGCTTGGATGTGCTGGACATTCAGCAGCTGCTCTTGCACCTGGCTGCTGTCTGCGCCATATTCTGCATCACCCCAGGTCACAACAGCCCCAGATTCAAGAATGGCAGCAAAAGCACCGCCAAACGACCGACTTGTTGATTGGATGTGCTGGACGTTCCTCAGCTGCTCTTGCACCTGGCTGCTGTCTCCGCCATATCCTGCATGCCCCCAGGTCACAACTGCCCCAGATTCAAGAATGGCAGCGAAAGCACCACCCAACTGACCACTCAATGATTGGACGTGCTGGACTTTCCTCAGCTGCTCTTGCACCTGGCTGCTGTCTGCGCCATATTCTGCATCACCCCAGGTCACAACAGCCCCAGATTCAAGAATGGCAACAAAAGCACCGCCAAACGACCGACTTGTTGATTGGATGTGCTGGACGTTCCTCAGCTGCTCTTGCACCTGGCTGCTGTCTCCGCCATATCCTGCATGCCCCCAGGTCACAACCTCGCCTGCGTGGTAATGCCAAGCAAACGCCCTGCTTGTGGAAGCCACTTTGCTAAGCTGCACAACCGCATCCACCACGTCCCCATCTTGCAACCCGGCCTCACTCAGCGTGGCAGTCAAATCGAGCAGCCGGCCTTTAGCAGTGAGCCTCAAGCGGCGCTCAAAATGCTGCTCCGCTGCATCTTGCAGCTCGCTCGTGGGCGTTGCCGGTGAGACTTCTATGGAACAACCATCTCCACTGGGCAAGTGAACATCCACCTTCATGGCACAGGAAGGTGTATGCAAGTTGTCAAACACTGTCATGAGACACGAGAACATGCAAATTGAAGGGGCCTTCTTAATTGTCTCTAGTAATAATGTTTAAAAAAGGGCTAAACAAATAAATAAATAACATGATAACAATAATCATTAATGAAAATAACCACCTGCGAGGGCTCAAATCCTTGGACAGCAAGATCATTGGGCGCACCGTGGCCTCCTTTCTGATCCCGAGTTCTTGGGATGAGCTATGTCCTCGGCTGACATGGGGATTTTCGTGAGCATCCATGTCCTAACGGATGCTAAAGGCGCTCGTGTACCCAATGTCATCCCTTGGACTACCTGGAGCCGAAAGGACGGACCGAGTGGATTGCAAGTATGGATGATGGGTCGAGTCTAATCCCCAATCTGGGGATGGCCGCCTGCGGATGACTGCAACAACAGTTCACCGTTGCTTAGACGACGCCCGACGCCCGCGATCGCCAGCGATAAGACACTAATCCATTTGCAACAAGGCGAAAGGACGGATGGCTTTCCCATGCCCAAAACCAAAGGCTCGGGATCTACAACGGAGAGCTTTTTCCAGCCCACCCCCCCCCCCCCCACCCGATCTTCATTTTGCTCTTGGCCATTGTTCACCCTTGTAGCTTTGGCTAAAGTGTCTCTTTCTCTTCCATTTAGTTAAGACCCTAGGAAAAAAAAAACAGTGATCAATTCCATTTAAAATCAACAAGGGAAAAATATTCATTTCAGCAAATGGAAGTTCTGGTTCAATCCTTGGGTTCTCGATGGGTTCTCGATGGGTTCTGGGTTCCTTTGGGATGCTCACGTTCCTTTGCGATCGGCGAGGCATTTGTGGCTCAAGGAACTTGGTTGCTGTTGACCCCCCTGCCAAAAGTTTACCCTCCCACCAGCTAACATGGGTTTGTGCAGAGACCCCTGTAAAAAGATTACTTTCCTCTTGGTTAGTTGGCCTTTTTGCACTTCCATGTTCGTTGGTGGGAGCGTAACTTTTGGGGGGGGTTAGTGGAAAGCCCCTTGAGTTCAACCAAGAAGTTAAAGTCTAAAGATCCAACCCAATGGCAGTCAAGTACCCACGTCAGAGAAGGGCACAGTTGACGTATGTTCCTGCTTTACCAGAATCCCGAGTTTTGCGGATTCTTTTGATAGGACCTCTTGGATCTGGTGATCTGGGAGGCTGCTACAATCAAACAATGACCCCTTTCTTCAACCAGCCTTGAACCAAATGTTCGTCAGCTCAGCGTAACGGCTTTCAAGCCACAGGGTGGGAAAACTTGGATTTGAAAGACCCCCACTTGAACATTTGACTTTTCTGGAGTTGGTACCCACTTTTAAAATGAAGCCAAAAGGAAACCACCTATGTTGGGCCTCCCCCCCACAAAGAAAAATCGCCCACTTCCCGTGGGCAAACCTCCGTCCTGCGGCTCGAATTTGTTCCAGGTGGCGGCGACCCACACGGCTTTGCCCGGGCGGTGGCTGTGCTTCCTGTGGCCGGAAAACTGAAATCCGGAAAAAGAAACCAAAGGGGCCAGCTGTTGGTAGAGGAGAGCCACAGGGATTGTTTTGGTAGAGGAGAGCCACAAGGATTGTTTTGGTAGAGGAGAGCCATGAGGATTGTTTTGGTAGAGGAGAGCCACAAGGATTGTTTTGGTAGAGGAGAGCCACAACGATTGTTTTGGTAGGGGAGAGCCACAAGGATGTTTTTTGGTAGAGGAGAGCCACGAGGATTGTTTTGGAAGAGGAGAGCCACAAGGATTGTTTTGGTAGAGGAGAGCCACGAGGATTGTTTTGGTAGAGGAGAGCCACAAGGATTGTTTTGGTAGAGGAGAGCCACGAGGATTGTTTTGGTAGAGGAGAGCCACAAGGATTGTTTTGGTAGAGGAGAGCCACGAGGATTGTTTGGTAGAGGAGAGCAACGAGGATTGTTTTGGTAGAGGAGAGCCACAAGGATTGTTTTGGTAGAGGAGAGCCACAAGGATTGTCTTGGTAGAGGAGAGCCACAAGGATTGGTAGAGGAGAGCCACGAGGATTGATTTGGTAGAGGAGAGCCACGAGGATTGATTTGGTAGAGGAGAGCCACGAGGATTGTTTTGGTAGAGGAGAGCCACAAGGATTGTTTTGGCAGAGGAGAGCCACGATTGTTTTGGTAGAGGAGAGCCACGAGGATTGTTTTGGTAGAGGAGAGCCACAAGGATTGTTTTGGTAGAGGAGAGCCACGAGGATTGTTTTGGTAGAGGAGAGCCACAAGGATTGTTTTGGTAGAGGAGAGCCACGAGGATTGTTTTGGTAGAGGAGAGCCACGAGGATTGTTTTGGTAGAGGAGAGCCACAAGGATTGTTTTGGTAGAGGAGAGCCACAAGGATTGTTTTGGTAGAGGAGAGCCACGAGGAGAGCCACGAGGATTGTTTTGGTAGAGGAGAGCCACAGGATTGTTTTGGTAGAGGAGAGCCACGAGGATTGTTTTGGTAGAGGAGAGCCACGAGGATTGTTTTGGTAGAGGAGAGCCACAAGGATTGTTTTGAGGAGAGCCACAGGATTGTTTTGGTAGAGGAGAGCCACAAGGATTGTTTTGGTAGAGGAGAGCCACAAGGATTGTTTGGTAGAGGAGAGCCACAAGGATTGTTTTGGTAGAGGAGAGCCACGAGGATTGTTTTGGTAGAGGAGAGCCACAAGGATTGTTTTGGTAGAGGAGAGCCACAGGATTGTTTTGGTAGAGGAGAGCCACAAGGATTGTTTTGGTAGAGGAGAGCCACAAGGATTGTTTTGGTAGAGGAGAGCCACAAGGATTGTTTTGGTAGAGGAGAGCCACAAGGATTGTTTTGGTAGAGGAGAGCCACGAGGATTGTTTTGGTAGAGGGATTGTTTTGGTAGAGGAGAGCCACAAGGATTGTTTTGGTAGAGGAGAGCCACAAGGATTGTTTTGGTAGAGGAGAGCCACAAGGATTGTTTTGGTAGAGGAGAGCCACAAGGATTGTTTTGGTAGAGGAGAGCCACAAGGACTGTTTTGGTAGAGGAGAGCCACGAGGATTGTTTTGGAAGAGGAGAGCCACAAGGATTGTTTTGGTAGAGGAGAGCCACGAGGATTGTTTTGGAAGAGGAGAGCCACAAGGATTGTTTTGGTAGAGGAGAGCCACAAGGATTGTTTTGGTAGGGGAGCCACAAGGATTGTTTTGGTAGAGGAGAGCCACGAGGATTGTTTTGGAAGAGGAGAGCCACAAGGATTGTTTTGGTAGAGGAGAGCCACAAGGATTGTTTTGGAAGAGGAGAGCCACAAGGATTGTTTTGGAAGAGGAGAGCCACAAGGATTGTTGTGGTAGAGGAGAGGCACAAATTGTTTTGGTAGAGGAGAGCTACGAGGATTGTTTTGGTAGAGGAGAGCCACAAGGATTGTTTTGGTAGAGGAGAACCACAAGGATTGTTTTGGAAGAGGAGAGCCACAAGGATTGTCTTGGTAGAGGAGAGCCACAAATACTATTTTGTTGGAGGAGAGCCACAAGGATTGTTTTGTTAGAGGAGAGCCACACGAATTGTTTTGGTAGAGGAGAGCCACAAGGATTGTTTTGGTAGAGGAGAGCCACAAGGATTGTTTTGGCAGAGGAGAGCCACAAGGATTGTTTTGGCAGAGGAAAGCCACAAGGATTGTCTTGGTAGAGGAGAGCCACAAATACTATGTTGTTAGAGGAGAGCCACAAGGATTGTTTTGGTAGAGGAGAGCCACAAGGATTGTTTTGTTAGAAGAGAGCCACGAGGATTGTTTTGGCAGAGGAGAGCCACAAGGATTGTTTTGGTAGAGGAGAGCCACAAGGATTGTTTTGGCAAAGGAGAGCCACAAGGATTGTTTTGGTAGAGGAGAGCCACGAGGATTGTTTTGGCAGAGGAGAGCCACAAGGATTGTTTTGGTAGAGGAGAGCCACAAGGATTGTTTTGGTAGAGGAGAGCCACAAGGATTGTTTGGCAGAGGAGAGCCACAAGGATTGTTTTGTTAGAGGAGAGCCACGAGGATTGTTTTGGTAGAGGAGAGCCACAAGGATTGTTTTGGTAGAGGAGAGCTACGAGGATTGTTTTGGTAGAGGAGAGCCACAAGGATTGTTTTGGTAGAGGAGAGCCACAAGGATTGTTTTGGCAGAGGAGAGCCACGAGGATTGATTTGGTAGAGGAGAGCCACAAGGATTGTTTTGGTAGAGGAGAGCCACAAGGATTGTTTTGGTAGAGGAGAGCCACAAGGATTGTCTTGGTAGAGGAGAGCCACAAGGATTGTTTTGGTAGAGGAGAGCCACAAGGATTGTTTTGTTAGAGGAGAGCCACAAGGATTGTTTTGGTAGAGGAGAGCCACAAGAATTGTTTTGGCAGAGGAGAACTACAAGGATTGTTTCGGTAGAGGAGAGCCACAAGAATTGTTTTGGTAGAGGAGAGCCACAAGGATTGTTTTGGTAGAGGAGAGCCACAAGGATTGTTTTGGTAGAGGAGAGCCACAAGGATTGTTTTGGTAGAGGAGAGCCACAAGGATTGGTAGAGGAGAGCCACGAGGATTGATTTGGTAGAGGAGAGCAACGAGAATTGTTTTGGTAGAGGAGAGCCACAAGGATTGTTTTGGTAGAGGAGAGCCACAAGCATTGTCTTGGTAGAGGAGAGCCACAAGGATTGGTAGAGGAGAGCCACGAGGATTGATTTGGTAGAGGAGAGCCACGAGGATTGATTTGGTAGAGGAGAGCCACAAGGATTGTTTTGGTAGAGGAGAGCCACAAGGATTGTTTTGGCAGAGGAGAGCCACAAGGATTGTTTTGTTAGAGGAGAGCCACAAGGATTCTCTTGGTAGAGGAGAGCCACAAGGATTGTTTTGGCAGAGGAGAGCTACAAGGATTGCTTTGGTAGAGGAGAGCCACAAGGATTGTTTTGGTAGAGGAGAGCCACAAGGATTGTTTTGGCAGAGGAGAGCCACGAGGATTGGTAGAGGAGAGCCACGAGGATTGTTTTGGTAGAGGAGAGCCACAAGGATTGTTTTGGAAGAGGAGAGCCACAAGGATTGTTTTGGAAGAGGAGAGCCACAAGGATTGTTGTGGTAGAGGAGAGGCACAAATTGTTTTGGTAGAGGAGAGCTACGAGGATTGTTTTGGTAGAGGAGAGCCACAAGGATTGTTTTGGTAGAGGAGAACCACAAGGATTGTTTTGGTAGAGGAGAGCCACAAGGATTGTTTTGGTAGAGGAGAGCCACAAGGATTGTTTTGGTAGAGGAGAGCCACAAGGATTGATTTGGCAGAGGAGAGCCACGAGGATTGATTTGGTAGAGGAGAGCCACAAGGATTGCTTTGGTAGAGGAGAGCCACAAGGATTGTTTTGGCAGAGGAGAGCCACAAGGATTGTCTTGGTAGAGGAGAGCCACAAGGATTGATTTGGTAGAGGAGAGCCACAAGGATTGTTTTGGCAGAGGAGAGCCACAAGGATTGTTTTGGTAGAGGAGAGCCACAAGGATTGTTTTGGTAGAGGAGGCTTGTCTTGGTAGAGGAGAGCCACAAGGATTGTTTTGGTAGAGGAGAGGTTTTGCTTATTGGGGCAACGATTGAGGCCCCGGTAATCCAACCTCAGGGGGGGAGGGGGGGGGGGTGGAGGGGGGAGGGGAGGAACACCAGAGATCCAGACATTTAGAGATCCAGAGAATCAGGGATCCAGAGATCCAAGGATTGTTTTGGTAGAGGAGAGCCACGAGGATTGATTCGGTAGAGGAGAGCCACGAGGATTGTTTTGGTAGAGGAGAGCCACAAGGATTCTCAGATGCCCGTGGATTTCCATGGGAACAAAAACAATCGGCATCTGACTTTTTGGTTGGTGGAGTCCTGCTCCCCAAAAACGTACAGAAAGGGAGTAAAACGGGTTGTAGTGGATCCCAAAAACGCAGTGTTTCAAAATCTAAGGGGCCAGGAGCAACCAAAAACCGGTACTATCGGCAACAGGTACCTCCCCACAGGTGCCATGTTAGTTGGAGGAAGGGTACCTGTTTGGGCGCCTTACCTTTTTTTTGGGGCTTTCCAGCTAAGTGTGAATACGAAAGCGGTGTGATAAAATCATCACATCATCTAGGTCCTGCAGTAGAGAGGGTAGAATAAGGGTACCAACTTTTCTTCTGTAGTCTTTAGTAGGGGGACCCTCCCCCAAAAAAGGGGAGAGAAGGGCACTACTGCAAAACCTAGTGCTGGTGGTTTGGAGTTTGGAGTGCCCGCACCGCTCGCATGGGATCGATCTGTCTTCCACCGCGCAATCTCCTTGAAGCAAACAACTCTCGGCGGCCAATTCGTGGGTTTCCATGACGCCTACGGAGCTAAGCCCCACGTGTGCCGTCACAACCTACTGGAGGGGCAATCACAGGCCAGGCTAGGAGAATATAATTCCAGGATCAAATGGCCATGGGCTTTTCAAAATCCAAATCGGTTAGCCCCCAGTGAACATCCGATTCAATCCAACCACTAAAATAGGAAGCCTAAAATGGGTGGTGAATTCACCCAATCCAACCAAAATGGGATCCCAAAACGGCTTTGACCACCACAGCCATGTACAAAACGAGATTGATTACTTGGCTGGAAAAATCGGACCCCAGCAACAAAAAAAATATGTGTCTTTGCTTCAACGGGACCAACCAAGAAAGCGGAGAAAAAAGAGCAAAAAGGGGAGCGAGTTCTGGGGAAGATTCGCGGGGGCTCCAATCGCGTCTTGAGACGGTTGTTCTTTGGCTACCTGAAAACTCGCCGCGCCTGGTCACGGTGCCACCTTTGGGTGTTTTTTCTTGGTCCAAGTTGCGCCTTTTCTGGGCTGCCCGTTTTCGGATCCGCGAAAAGTGACTAACTTGTGGGTTAAATTCGGAAACTGCCACTAAACGCTAAAAAGCTAAAAGGCTAAGGAACCGGATGGCTGGGAGCCACCAAGTTTTGAGGCGGCTGTTTTTTCAAGGGAAAAATGAAAATATGTCCAGTAGTGATAGATTCCCTTCAACACCATCAGGGGAAAATAAACATATTCTTAACCACATGGCAGCAAGGGGAAACCGCAAACCGGGGCTCGCTTCTTGACCCAGGCTGAGCTCCGTGCCAGGTGTCCTCCAAAGAAGCGCCTGGCCTTGGATGTTGCGCGTTTCATCAGACGGCTGTGATGTACAAACGGACTGGTACACATCTCTACTCAGCCCCCGAGCAAAAATGAACAGAACCAAAAAACTAAAAAACTAAAAACATGCCAAGGACAGTGAAGTACACCCTTTCACTGGAACCCAGTTGGCTATGGGTCAAAACCCCGGTACCCCAGTGAACACCCTGAAAGCACTCGGGGGGGGGGGGGGGGAAAGAATAAAAAACGTGGAGTGGTAACCATCCCCCAAAAAGGCACCAATTAGGTTTTGACCCACAACCAGTTGAATCCGCAGACGCATAGAACACGAGTCTGGATCACAGCTACTTCTATCGCCCTCGAAGCGTAGGCCGGCCGCGCATGCCTGAAATCACATGTAAGTGATGCCCCGTCACAGCAACAGAGCTACTCATTCAAAAAAAAGAGCCCAAAACAGGTGTAGCCAAGCCACGCCTTCAGTTTCGGAGAAACGCCAACCATCATCACTGGCTCAAGACCTGTGGCACTGCAAGCGCCGTTGCCACCATAGTGGCTCAAAGAGTCGCAGGACCAACGTCTTGCTTGGCTTGCCGCCGGAAATAGCCGCGAACTACTTCACCGCCGACTTCTCCAGACTGAGTCAAGTGGCCGCTCTCGCCAAGCTCTTGCCCGGGTTTGGCGGCATCACGTCTGAATTTCGGGGGACCGAAAAATTCGATTTCGGTCCGAAGAATCCGGGATTCACTCGGGCTCCAGGACTCGCGCTCCAGGACTCGCGCTGTGGTACTGGGCCAAGTCCATGGAGAAAACTCAAAATCTGGGCCCTGGGCCCACCCATTTTTCCACCTAGCTGAAAGAACATGGGATGCTTGAGAGCCTGTCAAAAGAGGACACCCTCTGTGGGCTTACCCTCGAAAGAGCTTACCATTTTTCTTGACCTAGCCCACTGAAAGAACATGGGGATGATGTTTGAGAGCGATGCGAAAACCTCGATGGGAGTTCAGTCCCCAGTCCCCACCCCACTCCCACTCCAAGTCCAACCAGCTCAGTCTGCAGCCTCAGTGCCCCAGCCCAGTCCCCCAGCGTTCTCAAAAAACAAGGGAGACGAGGTGCTCCAGTTTTGGAGCTTAGCCTAAGGCCACCACACTTTTCGCCGTCCATTTTAGGGGAACCGAGTCTCCCAACCAAAAAAGTTGGTTCTGAGACGGGCACCTGGCGCCTAGGAAAGCTTCGGGAGTCCACCCAGGGACCCGGGCAGTGCCAGCGCCAGGCTGGCTCCCTTCGCCTCGCAGTGAAAGCATCGGAGACATGGAAGTGGAGAGGGGCTTGGAAGACACAAGTGTCCATGTCTTATTTGCTGCTCGAACCTACCAAACAAATGATGTTGTAGGATGTTGGAGTAGCAGGCATGATTGGGGAAGGGTCTCTTCAGATTCTCGGGTCTTCTGATGCCAGAACGCTTGTCAACCATGGCCATCCACCGCAGAGACAAAATGACAACTTCGGATTCGGATTCAGCAATGGCCGTAGTCAAATGGGTCAGGAACCCTACAATGGATCGATCTCGCACTGGAAGCGAAACCACCAAGGACTAGTCTGGACACATTTGAATGGAGTATCACATGCTCATGAGTTCTTTACACGGAGCAATCTGGTGGATCTGCCTGGCGTGAGTGGCTCAACGGCTTCGTCACCAAATGTTCACGCGGACGATCGAATCGGATTCGGGATTGGCATATGTGCCATGAAAGGTCATGTTTCCCTCAATAGTGAATCATTTTTTACTGGTGAACGTCTGGGAGACACGCCCTTCTGTTCGGAAGCCCCCCAAACCAGTGAAGGGTAACCAGTTCCTTGGTGGTTACTTTACAACTCGTAGTATGGCCTTCCTGGCACCCCGTATGGCTGTTTTTTTCCGGTCAAACTCCCGTATTTGGCCGTATTTGCCCGTATGGCCATGACTTTTCGGTCATTTGCGTAAATCACCCGTATGAAACCCATATTTTTTCGACATGTTGTTGAAACAAATCCGTAAAACTCCGTATGGCCATTTTCTTCGGTCAAAGGGGTCCCAGGTTGCAACAAACTAGCCCCCAAACCTACGAATGAGCAGAACAAACAGCGAAACACAGCTACATGGGAACGAAAGGGCATCCTTTTTTCGGTTCCGCCACATTGCTCAACCGTTTCCACCCGGAAAGAAAAAAACGCCCCTCGAATACGAGGCCGCGTCGCGAGTCGGCGTGAAAACGAAGCCGAGGGGATTTTTCGGGACCCAAAGGGAGTCAAATAAGCGGCGCTTTATAACCTTTTGGAACCAGACGAATTGTGGGAACTCAACAGGCAACCAAAAGATCAAAAGGTCGATTCACTTTGGGCAAGATTTTGGAAGTGAACTGTGCCAAACAGTTTGGCCATGGATCAGTACGCCTTAACCCCCAGCCCCTTTGGGGGTTGGCCTGTACGGCCAGTGAGCACGATAATAGTTCCTCAGATCCCTGGCAATATATTCCTTTCAAGGGAAATTGTCACGATTGAAATTTGGATGTGCGAAGGGACCCTCGTTTGTGTGGTGCTTAAAGGGAAAAACAGAAGGAAAACCAAATCCTTGGGGGTCCGAATCCCCTCAAACGATTCCAAACCCAAATCCCTCCACCAGAGGGATGCGGGGATGTATCCCAATTGCAAAGGAACCCGATTCGCCCGCATGAGGTGCAAACGTCCACTGTTCCTGTCCATAGTCACAAAAAACGTCAGCTGAATTTGGACTCCAATTTACCAAAAACAGCGGACCAGCCAACTTTCTCTCAGGTCATTATCCACACCAGACTACCCACAACCCATGATAAGCAAGGATCCATAACCAGCCCAAACCAACACTCTGCATGCCGAATGCAACTGTGAAACTTGATTTGTTGTTCCCCTTTTCCGGCATGCCTTTAGCGCGCCACAGTCACTGAACGTCCCCATGTGACAACAACCCCAGAGTACGGCTCAGCTGCTCTTGCACCTGGCTGCTGTCTCCGCCACGGGCTGGATGACCCCAGGTCACAACAGCCCCGGATTCAAGAATGGCTGCACAAGCCTGTTGAGTTGCTTGGACGTGCCGGACATTCCTCAGCTGCTCTTGCACCTGGCTGCTGTCTCCGCCGTATTCCGGAGCACCCCAAGTGACAACAGACCCAGATTCAAGAATGGCAGCAAAAGCACAGGCAGTTGCTTGGATGTGCTGGACGTTCCTCAGCTGCTCTTGCACCTGGCTGCTGTCTCCACCTTCTTTTGGATCACCCCAGGTTACAACAGCCCCAGATTCAAGAATGGCAGCAAAGGCAAAGTCAGTTGAATGGATGTGCTGGAAATTGTTCAGCTGCTCTTGCACCTGGCTGCTGTCTCCGCCATACTCTGCATGACCCCAGGTCACAACAGCCCCAGATGTCAGAATAGCAGCAAAAGCACTGCCAGTTGCTTGGATGTCCTGGACGTTTCTCAGCTGCTCTTGCACCCGGCTGCTGTCTCCGCCAAAGTTTGGATCACCCCAGGTCACAACAGGCCCAGATTCAACAATTGCAGCACAAGCACGAGCAGTTGGTTGGATGTGCTGGACGTTCCTCAGCTGCTCTTGCACCTGGCTGCTGTCTCCGCCAGCCCTTGGATTGCCCCAGGTCACAACAGCTTCATTCAAGAATGGCAGCAAAAGCACAGGCAGTTGCCTGGATGTGCTGGACGTTCCTCAGCTGCTCTTGCACCTGGCTGCAGTCTCCGCCAAAATCTGGGTCACCAGGTCACAACTTTGCCCCCATGGCCATGAAAAGCAAACACCCTATGAGTGGCAACCAGATTGGCAAGCTCACGACCGCATCCCCATCTCGCAAGCCGGCCTCACTCAGCGTGGCCTTCAAATCCAGCTGCCGGCCTTCCGCAGTAAGCTTCAAGCGGCGCTGGAACTTGTGCTGTGCTGCAGCCTTCAGCTCGTTGATGGGCATCTCCGGTGAGACTGCTATGGAGCACCCAGCTCCACCGGGCAGATCTTCATGGCGCAGGAATACCCCCTACTCCAAATGCCCACTTGTTCTGAGTATTTTTTGGAAAACCTGGTTTTGTCAAGGTAGATACTTCCTTTTTTAGTAGAGGGTCGACATGATACCCTAAAAAAAGTGAGTATTTGGAGTCGGGGGTACAGTTCCGGGTGAGTTAAAGCTGCCAAACAAGAGCATGAGACAAGAACAAGAACATGCGAGTTTGGGATGACCTTTCCTGAGTTTGGACGCTGACAATCCCAATCATTTGCGAGCGCCCTTGGTCTTGAACCACTGTGCTAGCACACGCAGCGTGTCACCAATCCGGTTGCTCAACCGCATCTAAAGATTGTGACCTCTCTCACTTGCCCAAATCACACAGAAATAGATTGGGTTGACCTTCTGTCACCTTGACTATGGACCAAACAGGAACACCAAAAGGTCACAACATCGATTCGCTTTGGGCAACGGAGGCCTCATGACATATCCCAGAGGAAAATAGTTCCGGGTGAATTACAGCTGCCAAACAAGAACATGAGACACCTAAACAACATGCAAAATTTGGGACGACCTTTCTTGAACGGTCGCTGACGGGAATAGGGAGTTCAACTAACACTTCTGGGGGTGGCTCAAAAAACACCCAGTCTGGCCTCCAAGTTCAATGCGCCCATCAGCAAAGCTTGGCATCTATAGACTGCATCCACATGAATATATATATATATATACATACCCCTTACTCCAAATACCCGCATTTTTCAGGTGTCTTTTTTGGGAAACCTCTGTTTTTTCACGGTAAACACCTCCGGGTATTTGGAGTAGGGTGTGCATATATATATATATATATCTATACATATATATATATGTATACATGTATGTTGCGTACTTTACTTGTGTAGCTTGTGTATGTTCATAATGTATCCGTGTGTGTGTGTGCGTGCGCACGCAAATGCATATAATGATTGCTGGTGTGTGTGTAAATACACATATCGGTATACACTGTTCAAAGTCCGTGCAAGTTACTCATAAGCTCTTTACACGGAGCTAGCTATGGGTAAATCTGGCTGTCGTGAGTTCAACGGCTTCGACGCCAAATGTTCACGCGGACGCTCGACTCGGATTCGGAAATTCGGGATCGGCATGGTGAAAAGGTCATCCCTCCCTAAGGAATCAAATTCTACTCATTCAGGATCCTTACGAGCTGGGCCGTCCCTGACCCCTACCACCTGGGTATGCCGATTCCATGTCTATTGGGCCTCATGGCCTGAAGACGAAGGGTAACCAGTTCCTTGGTTACCCGTGGCTTGCAAACGAGAAGCGACGAATGAGCAGAACTCACAAGCTAAACACAGCTCGCAGCTAAACACATGCTCAGATTTCCATGGGAAAGAAAGGGCATCCGTTTTCGGTTGAACCAAGGAAACAGAAGGGGTGTTGCAGGTCGATTCGTTTGGGGCAAGCGAGTACCAGTTCTGGTTGACATGGATTTGCAAGTCCCAACCACTTTGTTTTTGCTGAATTTGCTGGGAGTAATTCATTTGGCGCGCATCATTCGCTCTTTGCTTCTGACCCCCTAAACCCTAAATCCGAGCAACAGCGAACACCGAATATTTTCTGTGGAATGCACCTCTGGCTTCTTGCTCTCAGCGCCCCCCGAAAGCAACATGCCGTCCATCTTACAGCAGCCCAAGATTCAAGCTCAGCTGCTCTTGCACCTGGCTGCTGTCTCCGCCGAGTTCTGGATCGCCCCAGGTCACAATAGCACCAGATTCAAGAATGGCAGCAAAAGCGCGGGCAGTTGCTTGGACGTGCTGGACGTTCCTCAGCCTCAGCTGATCTTGCACCTGGCTGCTGTCTCCGCCAAAGCCTGGGGCACCCCAGGTCACAACAGCCCCAGATTCCAGAATGGCAGCAAAAGCATAGGTAGTTGCTTGGATGTGCTGAACATTCCTCAGCTGCTCTTGCACCTGGCTGCTGTCTCCGCCAAATTTAGGATGACCCCAGGTCACAACAGCCCCAGATTCAAGAATGGCAGCAAAAGCCTGCTCAGTTGCTTGGATGCTGTGGACGTTCTTCAGCTGCTCTTGCACCTCGCTGCTGTCTCCGCCAAGCAGTGGATGACCCCAGGTCACAACAGCCCCAGATTCAAGAATGGCAGCAAAAGCACACTCAGTCGCTTGGATGCGCTGGACGTTCCTCAGCTGCTCTTGCACCTGGCTGCTGTCTCCGCCGAAATCTAAATGACCCCAGGTCACAACAGCCCCAGATTCAA